GGTTGAACTCCTCGGGGAGGGCGGGTTCGCCGTGGTAGGTGTGGAAGTTCTCGATCTCCTTGGCGAACTTGGTGAGGGCGGAGATTCCGGAACCCGAGGACGAACCGGTAGGGGAGGCGGGGCCGCCGAAACGACCTCCCTTGGAGGGAGAGGTCGAAGGGGACTTGGACGAATTCTTGAGAGTCTTTTTGGGAGTGGTGAACCCCATCTTGACAAGAAGTTTGCGATGGAGAAAAGAGAAGTAGTTGAAGAACGAAAAGAGAATCGATTTTCGTTTTGCGATCAACGACTTATATCTCTGACAAACTGGAAGGACGATTCGCTGGCCAAGGGGAAAAAACGAATCGTGTTTGTTTACATCGTCATTCAACAACGTCATAGACCCAGTCGCACCCCCGAAACGCCAGCGACCACGGCCATCGTACGATACGATATGCCCGGAGCGGATAAGCGAGTGGTGGATCGACTCAAAGGACGTTTCACGAATCGTCAAAGGAGGTACAACAGTGAAGATAGATCATCATCGAACCAGTATCCACCTGCCCTGAAAGAACAGTCCAGAACTCTAGGCATTTCGGAGAGAGGGATCACAATCAGGTACTCAACATCTCGCCTAACCGTGAACCTTGATGAGATTAGATTCTTCATCAAACAAGGAGTATCGGTCGACGGTTGTCGTTCAAACAAGGTGCAACGGCGCAGATTGAGGAGAGGGGGGTTAACGAGGAGATACGGAAGACCAACAGGCGACGACAAGAGGAATCGAGGACGATTCCACGGAGGGGGAGATACTGTCACGAACCTAGTAACACCCGACGACAAGGTATCACGAAACACGATTCGACATCAGATCCGTCTACAACCAGCCTTTGACACGTCATGGAGGTTATCACGCGCGACGAATCACGAAACACGAATCGACAAGCGCGCGCGCGCTTCAGCATCCGTCATCTCGTTCATCCCGACACTTGACACGTCATGCGATTCACAAATCGACCTTGTCAAGTTATTCGAGGTAACCGACCTCACCGGAGGTGACAGGTACAAGGACGAAATAGAGAACGATACGTTGGGGAAACCGACATCGAAGGAACGGACGTCTGCCTACACAAAAGACGAAACGACCTTAGACAGGGACGGGAAGTAATTACAAGGTCCAACACAGGGACGGAAGACGAATCGACAATCGTTGATCAATAAAAGACAAAAGCAAAAACAAGGAACGATATCTGACTTAGACGATACGCCGGTGATTGAAAGACATTGAGGATCGACCACCGACGTTCTCCACCTTTGCCAAAACAACGGCGGACGATTCACCAAGATGAGAAGGACGTAGGACGACCTTAGCATTGAATCGGGTAATGTGACGGACCTTAGAGAACAGACGGGGACCTAGGTGAAGTCAACAGCAGGCGTGCTTTCCCTTTCCTGTTTACTCGAGTAAGGACGAAAGACGATTCGTTGGACGATCGTTGGGGAAGCACGAAAGGAGAAACGAGCGCAGTACTTATAGCTCGATAGGATAGAAGAACGATAGCAGTTGTATCCTTTCGACTAGAAGTTCAAGCTCGTTATTACATTCGAATCTTAGCATACGCTAGACGAAGAGGTTACAAACAAAGACTACAGAACAACATTTTCCACCGCCTTACCCCTTATCGAGCACGCAGTGCACGGCTACTCGTTAAGTACACTTCCCTATTTCTTTACCCCTGCGTACGACGAAGTGGTATTGGTTCTTGGGTCGATACGTAGGACGAATCGACTATCGCGACTAGCTACCGCACAGAGACCTACACGAGTGACGATTATCGAATCGTAGTAACCACTCACACCAACCGGACGAATTTCGATTGACGAATCGTTATTCAAGGATCTTAAGGCAACGGCTAAAGATCGACCAGCACCAAACGAAGCACGATTCTCGTCCTGAGAGCTCTGACTAGAAAATACATCCGATCAAGCAGACCTAACACCGAGGTTCTACCAAGTCGTAACACGATGTATGTCGACGTGTCGAACGTTCTTGACGTCGTTCGAATATGCGTACGATCACCCTTACGTAACCTATAAATCTGCGTCGTCGAAGATCGTCTGCCCAAACACAGAGAACGATCTGACCTATCAACCGTCATATCTCGCAGACGAAGGACAATCTAGCACTATACGCACTGCGAGGCCGGAGTAACGAACTCTACCTATTGCTAGATGACCTCGTTTCAAAGACTACCCCCGACGGTCGTTTCGCAATCGACCCTTTCGCTACCGACCCTTCTCAAACACCCGGCGGTACATCGAAATCGTCGAAAGCGATGGGGAAACGGCCCAAACCAGAATCGGACGATTCTAGGTTCGTTTCGAGCCTGAAGCGGGTGTACCGACTAGTACTCACCAGCCAAACACACACAGCGACGAATCTTCAGGCCCCGAGGTCCAGGTTACCCCCTCCCGACGAACTCCCACCAAACGTCAACGCACTTCAATTCAGGCTGATCTAATCGAACGACTAGATCGTTTAGACGAACGTATGGAGGACCTAGCCAAACGAGACCCGGAGAAGCAGATGGAGAGGGTGTTTAAGAAGCTAGCGGACGTCGTTACCGAACTCTCGCTCAGCGACGTCGATTACAACCGTCTCGTCAATCACTTCACCGACCGGCCTGTTCGAGGTATCGCTTTCTTGGCTACCCCCGACGTACTCCTCGCCAACAGCGTAAAACGTATGGTGGAGATGGAACAGCGAAGGGAGGAAGACGAAGAGGCTAGCCGACAGCCGACACGATCTACGAGAGCGAATCCACGTCGATAATAGCGATACTTCATCGATCGATCAGTTCCGACCGTTGTTATAGTCGACGTATTCTCTATACATCCTTCTCGCTATTCTCCCACGTCTCTCGACAGCTAGCCTATCTTCTTCCGGTGGCGGACGTCGTTCTCGAGGGGGTGGGGGAGGTGGTGGTACGTTGACGTCGACCTCGCCTACAACGTTCCCGTCGTCGTCGTATTCGGTACCGTCTTCCCCGTACAATTCGATGATATTATGTAGGGCGAAGCAGACGTAGATGATCTTAACCTGCGTGGCGATAGGGTAGACCGTTCCGTATTTAAGAACCTATAGTAAACGGTAGCGAACGAGAAGACTCGGTAAGTTTCGAATATGCCGATGTACGTCGATATCGCGGGCGGAGAACGTTCGTTCTCGGTCGACGACGGCAGAACGATAGCTACGAACCTTATAACGACTCTTGACGATACCGAACGACCTCTCTATAATGTTACGGCAGCTAGAATGTCGAAGGTTGTATAGTTCCTTCTCGTTTTGGGGCGATCTGAACATCCGACGAAATCGTCAGCGTTTTCGTCAACCCGAGCGATGGGGTTGGCCTGAGAACGAGCTGTCACGTTTTGGCTGGTGTACTCACCCGTTCTGTGACTGCGACCACTCCTTCAAGTGGTATCTGACCCCACGGAACGGGGTCAGTAGATTTGAGCTCAATCCGTAGCCGGCGTCGGCTAGTAGGTGGTGATTGTTCGGTATCTTCAGTCCTCGTTCTACGGCTGCTCGATAAACGTTACTATCGTGATCACTACCTTCCCAGCCAGCTAGTATGAAGGTGAAGAGACCGTCGAGGCCGACGCAAGCGAGAACGTTGAACGAGAGGTACTTCGCTCGATTTCGACATCGAGCGGAGTCGTCGGAGGGAGGTGTCGCTATTATTTGCGTTCCATCGATCGCACCGACGCAGCGTTTGGTAAGGTGGCGGTATTTACGGTCTGTGTACTTGTCTACATGGAGGGGAAGGTCGTCGGCTGTCGGTTGTTTGACGTAGCGGCCGTAGAATCGAACGTCGAACATAGCGTCGATAACTTCATGAAAGTATCTAGATTTGACAGTATTGATCAAGTCGTCGGGCGAACCGGCCGGCCCCACTTCGCAGGCACTTACTTACTGATACTGGCCTGCGAAATCTGCCAGTATTGCTGGGTCAGACGGTTTGAAGCAGCCTTGCGTAACATCCATAAGGTCATCGCAACTTTCGCTTGTAAACTGACGTTGTCGGTGGGTTTGATGCGATGTAGTCGGTCGATATCGTCGGTAATTCGTTCAAGACAACTGGCGGACATTCCTATAGCGTTGTGGCAAGCCATAGGGTGTCCGCCGACCGTCTGAAGAAGGATACGAGCCGTCGAGAAGGGACTATGTATAATAGGTCGAAGGGGGGGCCTCTCGAGGATACCTCGAACGATTTGAACGTAGGCTTGCGAAGCGGCCGTCAATAAGTCTACGGTGGCGGAATTAGCGTCTATGAGGTACTGGTCCTCGTCCTCGTCATCTGTGCTGTAGTTCATAGCTATATTTATAGTTCGTTCATGAGATATTACAGCTACAAGACGTCGACCTAGGTATGTCGACGTTCTTGTCGACCTCCGATGTCGACTTCGAATATCGGTCGAGAAGTCTCAGCTCAAAGTAGACATTTCTTCATCGCGAACGGTCTACTTTCGAGTGCTTGCGTAATTTTGTTTGCTGCCGAATTTTGTTAACAATTCACTAGCAAAACGTGGCACTCTGAAAAATAGACGTATAATAGTCGAATGATCGCGAACGCAACCATAGCTGTGCACGGATGATCCGACGGATCGATTCGCGATCATCAGGGTCGCTCTCGCGCCCGCCGGACCGAAGGAGTTAACGAGCCGCGCGAGTTACCGACGCCCCCAGAGGAGATCTTTTGATAAAGGTTCCCGTCTCGTTCTGATCCATATAAAAGGCTCATCAACGATCAGCGATCAGAGATTCTCAACAGATCAACAGATCCACAGTACAAATCCGAAACCGTGAAGACACGAATTTGCAGCTCAAAGCGACAATCCTAGTCTTTATCCCCTTCAAAAAGCATACTCGTCCACCTCCACCTCCACTTTATAAACAAGATCGAAGAGCGAACATGTCGAATCTGTATGGCACACCACACCTCGGTAGACGCGATGGAGAGGTCAAACCCCAGATGTGAGTCATGACCGGAGGACACCTGCATACGTTCGTCGCTGAAGAACAGAGGAATTGTTTGTGAAAAGAGCGTTATATAACCCGAAAGCCGCCTTGAGCGCAATCGGGATGATCGTATATGCGATCCTGGCCATCGCACTATGGGTCCGTGAGTCCATGACCACCCGCTTCCTGTCTCACTTCTGACCAGAAGGATGTTTAATGATTCTGATGGTCGATTGTCTCATCTCAAAAAATACGAATAGGCTACTTCAAGATGTCACGTCCGAGGGCTAAATGGATGCGCTGGTTGCCAGTCGGAACGACTATGATGTCGATCGGTCTGGGAATCCGAATAGCCAGGCGGAACGGTACGGGAGCGTGGTCCTTCTTGGGCGAGACGATTGTGAGTCCTTTGCATGGCTAGGCAAGCTAGACCCCGGAGCTAGTCACTGACACCACTGTCAACTACCATACCAGCTGCTACTATCGGCACCCTGTGCGATCATCGCCCAGAACTACAAACTCCTCTCGGTCCTATCTCTTCATCTGGACGCCGACGACTGTCTGATCATCCGACGGTCCTTCTTGATGCCATTGTTCTTGACGAGCGATACCATCACCTTTCTCTCCCAATTGGCCGGGACGGCGATGCAAGCGACGACCATATCGAACATCATGCAGTATGGGACCTATGTCACGCTGGGTGGGCTGATCGTACAGGCCGTCACGCTAGCGACGTTTATCACGTCGTGGTTCCTCTTCCGTCGTCGAGTGTAGGTGCTCTCATCTCCCAACGCTGGTGGCGGCGAGGTTTCCCGACTGATCGTTCGTATCGTTTCATCTTCAGCGAGAGGCGATCTCTTCATGTTCAAAAGTGGACGGATGGTTCGCCTTATGTTTTGGGCTACAAACGAAGCACGGATTTCCGCTGGGTATGGTGGTGCATAGGTTTCAGCTGTCTTTGCTGCTTGGTGAGTCGGTCGGTTCGTCATATCACATGGTGATGTGTTCCTGACTGGAACCTCCAATGGGTCGACGACTAGATCCGAGCCATTTACCGTGTCGCCGAATACGCGTCTGGGTGAGTTCAGCGGTTTGGTTGGTAACGAGGATCCTTTGCTGAGATTCTTGTCTTCTTGCCGCTGCCATGACAGTTTCGACTCGTACCTCGCCAACCACGAAGCCTTCTTCTACGTCTTTGATTCTATCCCGCTCGCTTTGAGCGTGGGAGTCTTCTCCTACTTCTGGCCGCCTCACGCTCTAGACGCGTCGGGCGCGATCATCCCGACGACCTCGAACGTAGAGATGTCGGGCGTCAAAGGGAGGATACCGGAGGTTCGAGGGTTTTCGGCCGGTGCCGGTCAAGGAGTCTTTCAAGGAGGCTATCGGAATGGACGCAACCAAAGACCCGACGGTGGCCCTTTTCAGCCGTTGTGAGATTGTGAGATTTGATGGTTGTACCCTTGATCCGTGATATCCGATATCTGCCCGGATCCTTAATATCCAATGCTTGCAACACAACCGTTCCTACTCGCCGACCTAGGCGCTGGCGAAAGCGGCGTCGATAGCTCCCTCTCCAAAGTCGGCCTCCATGGAGAAGAACGCCAACCAATCCGGATCCAGTTGAAAAGGCAGACCCTCGAAATCCATCGGTTGAAACGTGTCCATGCCCAGTGCTGCGGTATCCTTGGGAGTGCCATCGGGCCCGAGATGCTCGAGCACTTCCCTCCACCTGAGCGAAGCGGCGATCGGCTGTTGTACCCTATCCACGATACTGGGGTTGAAACAGTAGACCTCCCTAAGCAGACTTTCGGCGACGGCGAGGTCTGCAGACAAGACGTCCATCTCGCCCTGCGAGTCGTTGATCTTGACCTGGTAGACGGCAGCATAGGCGAACAGGACGAACGTGGAAAGGTATGCCGGCATTGAGGAAAGATCGGGGCGCGTTTGTGCCACGTGCCGGATGATGTTCTTGCCCGTGAAGAAGATGTGTCCACCGTATCGTTTGAGATGAGGAAACGCGATGTCGGGGTGGATGGGAGGGTAGATGAACGCCCCGCTGTCGGCGCGGATCCTGGATGCCAGGGCGACCTCGACGATGTGCGACAATAGGCAGAGGCTCGGTTGTGATGGCACTACCAGGGGGATCGATCGATCGATTAGCTGAAATGTACACGTAGGTCTCCGAAACGATTACGATGGACTCACGACCCGGACTCAAGAGGTCTCTCCTCCAAACCTCGCATTCGGCCTTGAAGACGACGAACCTGTCGTGCAGCTCTTGCATGGCGACGGGATCCCACATCTCGCCCGTCCTCACCACCTGGATTTGCCGGACGACGGGGAAGACGAGGTCCAGCAGTCGGCTCTCGAACTTGAGATGAAAGTACCAAGCGTTGACGTGGTACCTCTCGCTCAGAGCCGTAGGGATACTGCTGAGCGAGATGTAGTCTAGCATCGAGCCCGATCCGCCGAGAAGGTTGAGCCTGCGAGTTGTCACTCATTAACAATCAGTAATTGCGGTGGGTTGAAACCGAGATGCGGTCACGACCGGACTCACCAGGTCTGACGATGCAAACAGCTAAACCACTAACGATCCAAATCCAAACACATCCTTTATCAGTTTATCACAATCCCCCTCAGACCCGCGAAACTCTTCAAAGTCTGATTGTGACCTTGTGCTCACCAAACACAACCGATTCAAACTCCCCGTCGTATCCCACTGATCCAACCCGCTCCCATCCCGTTCCCTCACGACGACCCGCATGGAATCGTCCAACCCGAGCCGTTTAGCCAGATCCAGGGCGAGCGCTCCTGCATTGTAAGGCTCTATCGCTATCGAGAGCCCTAGGTTGGGGTTGGACTTGCCGTTGTTGGTGCCTTCGGGGTTATAAGAATTCGAATGAGGTGGAGAGAGGGAGACGATGAGTAAGCTCTCGATGGAGGCGATCTCTGGTCGGGTGTTGTTGTTCTGGGTAATGAGGGAGAGGTTTTGTTCGAGCATCTTGATGATCATCCGGCGGGTCATTGGAGAGAACGAAATTAGGGATGAAGGCCTTGGCGTTGAAAAAGATGATGTCGAGATTGAGGCGGGGGAGGAGACCGAGTTCGAATTCGAGGTGCAGGCGAGGAAGTAGAGGATGGCCGAGCGGAGGAGAGGATGTTTAGGTGGTTGACGTGGTGAGCGGATGAGCCGGTGGAGAGGAAGAGCACAGGGGAATAACTCCACGAAACTATATTCGACAATCGCGACCAACATATTTCCAATCAACACTCTCACCCCACTCAAACAAGCACCACCCCCAACACACAAAAAACACACAGAAGACTCACACTTGATAAACCCGTTCCATCTCCCTAGGCAAGACCACCCCCAACTCGATCGGATCCAGATACACAGGCTGACTAGCTAAACCGAGAGCTAGGAAGGAGGAACCGATCGGACCTCCGGTTTCTGGGTGGGTCTTGCCGTAGAGGTCGGATTCTTCGGTGTGATGGTTGTGGTTGTGATGCTGGGTTTGGTGGGTCGTCGTGTTTGTGGATGTGGTCGTGGTTGGGGGCCGGGTGGAGGTGGAGGTGGAAGTGATGGAGGAGTATGTATTAGGAATAGCTAACGATGATGGTACGAACGATAAGGGCAATGCTGGTTCTAGTGCTGATGCTGATGTCGACGCTAATGCTAAGCCCGACGAGCCTTGATCCCGAATCTGATTTTGATTTTGAAATTGGGAGTGGGGCTGAGAGGAGAGGATCGTCTTCAACATGTTCTGTATATCGATCGTCCGACGCTTGATCTCTCGCAAGTCTCGCCTTCCATCTCGCCCTCGCCCTCGATCTTGATCTTGATCTGGTTCGTAGTTTTGATCTTGGTCTTGTTGTTGGTCTTGGTCTCGGTCGCGGTCTTGGTCTTGGTCGCGGTCTGATGATCCTTCTTTTCCCGTAGAGGACCGTGCTCGTTTGAGATGCGAATTGAGGTTGTGGTTGAGATGTGGGTTTCCAGGGAAAGATGTTATACCGTCATACTTGTCGATGATGCTAGATCTAGATTCTCTCGATCCCGAAGCTTGGGGTCCATACCCGGGGATCCTAGAAGGATCTCTTTGTGCGTGGTGTTGTGATCGTAATTCATCGTTGCTGTTGTAAGCCAACAGGCCGTACCCATTCCTCAAATCTGTCGACGTCGACGTCGACGTTGAAGCTCTCCCCGACCCAACGAGCGAACACGCCGTACCCAAGACCGCACATCGATGACACCCCTTGGCGGTGACGAGCTCGCACCGGGATTTCCTCGTCTGGCAGGCTTCGCACGCGATCGAGGTTTTGGTACGTTTTTTACGGCGGGTAGTTGGGGTGTTTGTGTTTGTGTTTGTGTTTGTGTTTGGGTTTGTTGTGTTTGTGTTCGACTTTGTGGGTGTGAGCGCATCAGTAGTATTAGGTTGAATAAGGGGGTCTGGCTGTAGTTGAGTGTCTGTGATAAGAAAAGGGACGGCAAGTCGAAGGTAGAGAGGATTAGCTTACCGAGGCTTGTTGAGATCCGATTTCTTGTTGCGACATTTCGACAGGTCGTTGAGAGATCTCTTTGATCGAGATCGTCACCGATAGATCTAAGATCCATGGAATGACCTATAGCTTATAGCTCGTACTAGATCATACTACAGTATTATCGTTAAACAGTCGAACAGTTTCCAGTTCTCAGGGTCATACGACCGACGTCTTTCGAATATGCTCTTCTCATATTTGCTTCCGCTCCGTCGAGATCTCGATATCCCCCTAGCCCTAGCCTTCCCCCCAAAACGACCTATTCATAGGGATCCTCGCAGTCTAGAAGGCGACGAATCGTAAGTCACCGAGTGATGTGAACACCAACATGGCCGGTCGAATCGCAGTACCTGGAAGAGCCCGATTCGCAGTCATCGAAATGATGGTGGTGGTTCATGAGATCGTGAGGGCGAGATCCGGCGGAAGTTCCGACGGGGAGTTGAGTCGCTGGAGATCTCACGGGACCCGCGAGGTCGGTATTTTCGCGTTTCAATTCGAAACGGGTCGCTGATCGCTGCATGATACACGAGTCGCCGAGTCGGTTTCTCGCACGAGGAAGATCATTCAATACATAATACCTCGGTCGACAACAACGTCCTTGTCGACTTTGGCGGCGGGGGCGGAGGGGGGGTTGGACTCGATGACGACACTGGTGAAGGAGCAGTGAGCCACCCCTGTTCGAGTTCAAAGCTCCAGCCTGTTGAATCGGGAAGGGTTTGGTATCGAGTGCCCCCTCGGAGACCTTGCTGAGCGCCTGCGCTGCAACTGCTCCGTTCTTCTCTCAAGGTCGAATCACCTTAGCGGGACCATGGCAATTGCGCTTGATCATCACACCATTCCCAGCTCGCTGCCGCATCATATTCCATCGTTTTCCTCCCGTCTCGTCTATATATCCGTAATGCCAGCGTCCCTGTGATCCTCGAAAGTGAGTCAAAAGGCCACCGGCTCTTCTTCCGCTAATGGTTCGGACGGAACGCCTGTCTGAATATCGCCCTGAATCATTAAATCATACCGACTTGTACCAAGAACATCATTATGGGTTACATCGGTCACATCTTCTGGAACTACTCCAATTTCCGTGACACCTCAATCACCGGTGAACCGTAGCCGGAATAGACAAGCTGGGGGTAAAAGCCGAAAAGAGCGCGTCCACGTCCTTGTCCTTGTCGACGCTCCCAACATGCTCTCAACAAGTTCCTCACATGGTGAGATACCTATCTCTTCCCGCGTCACTAAGCAGAGAGCGTGCCTTTCATGTCATTCATGCGGACAATCTTTGACTTGCAGCAGCTATGATCACACGAACCAGTACGGGCGAATCGCCGTCCTTGTTGATAATCTGGTTGGTGTCGAATTCCAGGATGTTGTAGAAGAGCGGCGGCAACATTGTCGACTTCGGGCGGTGACTATCCACTCCATCAAAGCCCTGCGCCTAGGATTTGTTGTTGAGGATTGACATCCCGATAACCAAGGGTTCTTTTGTAAAGGCGCAAGCGTGACCAACTTCTTCCCCGTGAGTATTTGATTGTAATACCTCGATTCCGATTCTTTTGCCTTTCCCTACGACGCCCATCACCAACACCAATCTCGCTGTCATCCTGGTTATCCATCTTGTTTCCCTCATCTCCCTTGCAACCCTTAGCACGTAAGCTCTTAACTGATCATCATTCAACAGAGTGATGGCTCTCTCAACCGACCGGCCTGGTAAGAAAAAGATCTCAAGAATAGGTCAAGAAAAAGATCTCAAGAATAGGTCAAGAAAAAGATCTCAAGAATAGGTCAAGAAAAAGAGGTCAGAAAAGCACTTACCATTCTTGCCCACAATGAAAAACGTAGCCGTGAAGATCTTTACACAGACGGAAACATAATTGATGTACAAAGAGGTATGGTAGAGGTTTCCGATCAGGCTCGCGCAGTCTTTCCATGCTAATACGGCAAAGGTTTTCATCGCAAAATGACCGATTACCGCACGCGCACGCCAATAGAGGTTGGCTTCGGTTTCAACAATATACTGGCAGACTGGAGACAACCAGTGCAGAAAAGATTCGAATGATGAGCTACCGGTCCGGCCTAGATGAGGTACACGGACAGGAACGCCGGATCGAACATCGTCCGGAAGACCGCCAGTAAACCATACCATCGTAAAATCGTGTATCAAGGGTTCGTCTGACCCAATCACCCCGTTCACATCGCCGCCAACAACGATGAGCCCATCCGAACAACTTCTTTCGTCTTACACCCAGCTATCCCCCATGTGTGCTGCTACCAACGATCGATTCCGGTTCGTTACTGCTCCCCTACGGCTCCCAAGGTGATCAAGTTGAAATTCACATCTCCCTCGGCCCGATCGATGTATTTCTCTTGCACGACCTTGGCGACGTCCTACAATCCCGAGGTCCAGATTTCAGGTCGATAGAAGGAGTAAGGGTCAGCACCCTTCCTCTACACAAGTCAAGTCAAGAAGGTGTAGCGTAGTATAGGCGCAGGGTAAAAGGAACAGGGTTCGATCTGAACTTCGGACGGGGGCGACTTACCTCCAAGAACGTCTCCCCCGTAGTTTTGCCCCTATCGAGGGGTCCTTCCCGACCTCCATCGAGTTCGACGATATGTTCCGACCTATTAATCCAGTCGGATACGCAGGAACAACGTCAGGATCATTATCAGCATAACCACCCTCTTCCTCTTGTCCTCCCCGAATATTGATCGAGTCTTAAGAGTACGGCAAAGTGATCGAAACCTGCAAGACCCAGACCCACACCCCGACTCACCCATCCGCATGCCCCCCTTTGACAAACGCAATAAAATGCAAATCAGTCTCCCTCTCCTCCACCCCCTCCGGAACCCGGCTCTGGCCCGCCGCCACGCTGTTCTGATGGGCCGTCTCAAAAAACGGGGTCTCATCTAACAACTTCGCTCTGGCTAGGGGGGAGAGGGGGAGTGATTGGAGTTTAAAGGTCGATAAGGGGGAGTCGGGGGAGATTGAGGTGGTGGTACTGGGGGGGAGGTTCAGGAGGGAATGGAGCAGGCCGATGGAGCCTATAAGTGATCATGAGAAACGGAGCAAAGGGGAGGGGTTTGATAAGCGTCCCTGAGTAGATAAGATGGAGTTCAAGGCGGCTTATAGCTTACCGCATGCGTTAGCTGTCTGTAAAGCGAGAGGAGGACCGGATGATCAGCAAATCTGAGATGGTCTCAAGCTCGCAGCTCGATATCATATATCGCATCCTATACCAATAAACCATACCGCAACGAAACCCAAAACCCTCTCGTACTCACCGTCTGCTTGATCCACCAAACCCCCCCTTGTCCCTGCCCATCCCCCTCCTCATCCTCCCTGCCCTTCCACCCCAACTCCCCCGCCGCTTCCTCAGCCTTACGCTCCTCTGCCAACTTTCCCCTCGAAGGGAACAACAACAACACCGCATGTACCGGTTTCGGGGTGTATTGCAGGAAATCCGGGTCGAGGGAGTATAGGTCTTGGAACCCTAGATTTTGGGGGAGTCCTAGGGGTGCGGCCCACTAGAGTCGAGAAAGCGGAGGTCGTCCCGGACGTCGGGGTTGGTGAGATCGGGAATTTCAATCACATGCAGACTGAGTATGGTGACGACTTGCCTGATTAAAAACCTACGAGTCATATACAAATCGTTGATATCAGATATCAGATTCCATTGATGACAAGGTATTGCAACGTCGATTCGAGACTCAAATCTTACGTCTGGGCTGGCTTCGAGAGGGATCCATTTCGAGGCGGCGGGGTTGGGAGATGACATGGTAGATACGTTTATTCTTATCTCTGTGACTATCCGAGTGCTTGTTAGAGAGTCTAGGAGGATATATGTGGCATTGAGGTGTTATTAAAGTGGTTGAATATGTCGAAATGGGTTCACATGTCCCTGGACCCGAGCAGAAAGTGACGCAAGCAGCCTCAGCCGGTCAGGTCCGATCGACCATAGCTCATAGGTATCCAACATCCCTCCAACATCCTACATCCTGCAACATCCTGCCCCCAACAGCCAATCTTTCACTCCTGTAGATCTAATCCTCCGATGGGCAAGCTCGACCCCCGTCCCGGGACCTCAATCCCACCTCCATATAGCACGACGATCGGCTGCCTCCAGCTATCCCGTAACGACCACCTCCGACTGATCAACCTCCCCCCAGACCTGATCCAGGTGGCAAGACATACCATCGTCGAGACCTGGCCAAAAGGGATTCAAAAGGAAGGTGATTTCGAGGGGTGTGCTTGGGAGTTCAAGTTGAAGGGGAATCCATGTGAGTAGTTGGACGTGAGATGATATAGTGAACTCCTAGATATAATCGCCGGTCTTCGGTTTTCGAAGAGAGACATGTTGCATGTTTCATGTTGAATAGCAGTGAAACACCTGAATCGCTGAAATTGCTCGCATTCCGTTTCTCAACCTTCGCCCAAATTGCAGGGCTAGCTCAGGGGGACGAAGCCATCCCGTAAGCCCTCTCCTGCTCCTGTACCCGCCTGCTCTCTACAGCTCTCTACTGCACTCTCGCCTCTCTACCCTCCACCCTCCCAATTTTCAATCATGAACTGCAGACTGATAATATACGATTTAATTCGCCCCCCCCGCAGCGCCCGCCGACTCCTAAAATCCCTCATCCAAGCTTTCGAAAGAACAGGTTGGGGAGTGTATACGGCTTGCGGGTTGAGTAAAGAACCCGGGGATAAGGTGAGCGCCCGTGTCCTGGTCCTTTGTTTTTCATGCTTGTGATGCTCTATGAGATGTTGGTCGCTGATATGTATATGTCTATATCTATTTCTATATCTTTACATCGATACACGTTGACCGTCATATATGTGCAACACAAAATCGCATGATGCACGACACACGCAACCAACTCCTATGCCTGCGACTGCGCTTACGCTTGGGAACGAAATCGGGAAACCCATGGGGGCCTGCGACTTGCAGGACACGATCTTCTTCCACCAAACCGGCGTTCCACGGTCCCGCCCTTTCTGCTCGATCTCGTTTAACAAGGGGGACAGGCTCGTGAGTCTATATCTCCCATCTCATCCGAACACTTGCACCTGCACCTGCACCTGCATCTACGCCACATCCCTTGTTGCGCCGTATGGTTTGGTGTCCTCTCCAGCATCATATCACCAAATCACATATTATATCATATCTATATCTATATCCGATCGAGCTGATATCCATGGAATATATTTTTTTGGGTTTCGGGTCTGGGTCCGGGGATCGTGAAGCGGTTAATCGATGCGGTCTCCCCAGATGTCTCCAGGGCGTTCGAGAGCGTGGCGCAGGTAAGTACCTCTCACCCGGGACCCAGAGAAGGGAGATGAACTGGTCGGCATCAGTAGTAGTGTCAACCTTCTCGACGTCGATGTCGATGCTAAGAACCTCCTCTACGTTTTACGTTTTTCTACCGCCCGCCCCAACCCCATCCTTGCCGGAACTCGCCCCCCGGCAGACCTGGTTCCTAGGCACCAAACCCCCTTCCTCCAACCCCTTCTCCCGCTCATCGGCCGCCAAAGACGACCCCGGGTGTCTCGAGGTGAAACTCGGGGGTACGCCTTGGTACGCGTCGGACGGGATCGAGGTCGTCCAGGTCGGTCCCCTCATGCTCGCTGATTTCGAATGCGAGTCGTTACAGTGTGTCTGATGTGGTCTTTGTATTATGGAATTGACATTGGCGTTGGGACACGCAGGCCAGGGTCTTATGCTGCAGACTACTCGAAGCCATGCAGAGCGTCGGCTTAGAACTGGTCGTCAGCGTCGACATGTCGACCGGAGGAAGCGGGATGGATCGTGAGTCTATCTTCCGATGCAATCCGCCTGAAGAGCTCAACAAATAGGGGCTTTTCGGGTTGTCGATTTCATTCGTCTGCTTCTCACGGATATCATATTCGTCGATACTGATACTAACACCGGTTGCTGGAATGGGATGGTTACTGTAGTTTGCACTTGGTTCTTGGCGCCGACTTTAGCTTGAGCGCGAATGTACCGGACGAGTCAACGGCATATCAAGAAAGGGTTTTCCCTGAGCTACAGGAGACGGGACCAACTCTTATTGTACAGTATAATCGAGTCTCTCAAACCCAGTCGGCAAGGGGACGGAAATGTATCGCATCTGTTGTAACGTAGAGGGAAAGACGACAACTCGGCGAGTGTGACTTTATTCGTACGGTACTGTATGGTAGTACCGAGTCATATCAGAAATGATGAAGAGTGGGAAAAGGAGCGATGATGGGATGATGGGACAAGTGCGCACCGATGTGTCTTCCGCTTACAGTAGCGCACATCAACTCGGCCTGACACTCCCTCCTCTCACTCTCCCTTTCACTTTGACGGACACGGCTCGGGATGGTCTCTATACTCACCCTTGGAGGTCCTGGAGCAGGTACTCACCAATGGCAGTCGAGGAAGCGAGAACACAGTAGTGACAACAGCCATGTAATTGTAGCCGATCTGCCTAAGTCGAAGAAAGCCCCGACTCTCCCTCCGTGTATCAGCTTCTCATCATTGGAAATGCAGCGCTAAATCAGGCCCAAGCCCTTGGCTGCTGACGTTGCGGGAGGACTTTGTCCCCTTTGTACAGCATGCCATCCTACCCCAGACCGTCACTGTCGACCGCCGTTTCCTCATCGAGGTCTGCCAGCACAGCTTCCGGATCGATCACTGCGCCCATCACCTACCAACCTGATTTCCGTTACCTACCGAGCCGAACTTCATCAACGTCATGTCGCCTACAGAGCATCGAAGGAAACGACGTCGAACAGCCGTCTCCGATTCCGACTCCGACGCGTTGCCAAACCTTAATTTCCGAATATGCTCTTCGTCGATCCGCGCGGGTCCGAGCGAAAGACAAGGTCATTTCAACCACTTGTACTCTCTCGATCATCCGACATTACAGATCGGCTGATACTGTACTCTAGCTTCTCTACCTAATACAGACACTCGTTAAGCGATCTAAATACATCCAGGCTACATTCAGTCGACATGGCCAGAAAGGACGACGGGATCGTCTGGGACTTTGACACGATCAGCTCGGTCTTCTTTCTCCTGCTCTTCCTCGTCATCGTCGGTCAGTCTCCCATCCACAACGAGTACTTCTCGAATACATTCTCTAAGATGGGTCCCTGATGATCTGTATCTACGGTCATGCTCGCAGCGGGCGTCTTCCACCTGACCCGAAAGGGAGCCGCAGCAGCTGAACAGACCAAGGCATCGCTGAGAGAGAAGGGCGTGTAAGCCTCTCTCATCATTCCTGAAAAGACCTCGCCATGGACCCATTCAGACTTGGCTGATCGAATGTGGATTGTGGGTGTATCTAACAGGACGTACCAAGATGGTCAGATGAAGGTACAGACGACTGGGGTCGCACCGAATCGGGAGGAATACATCGCTCGGACTCAACGGTCAGTGCTACGCTCTCCCGTTTGACGAGATTAGTCCTGATATCGTCGTGATCGTCGTGCTGAACCCGGCCCTTCATTTCATGCCTCTTCATTCCGCGAAATTTACGTCTACATCTCATACACCTCGGCGGATCGACCATTATCGTTGCTTCGGACTTGAAACCTATCGTCATTCCCGGCCTCTACCTTGAACCTCTATCATTACCCCTACCTCTACCTCTACCTCTACCTCTACCTCTACCTCTACCTCTACCTTGCCTCTACCTCTACCTCTTCATATACCTCAAACTCGACCTCAACCTCTACGTCGACCTTGATTCGAACCTCTTCACCTAATCCTCTATCTCAACCCCGGATCATCAACCTGCACCTGAACCTCCACCTCGACCTGCACCTACACAAATGCACCTGAACAGCGCCTTCGAACGCTCAGCAGCCAAGTTCGCCGCCCACCCCGCTGCATTGACCTTCGGGCTCAAGGAAGACCTCGTCTCGGCCTCTCAGTTCGTAGGACATGAGATATCTAGTCTGACTGGGCGTGCGGGAGGCAAGGGGAAGAGGGGTGTGAATGGGAATGGGCTTGGGAAGGCGGATAGGATGGGTGGTGGTGGTGGGGATACTGGGCTGGAGGGAGAGACAGGAAGTGTGCAGGGGTTGGGCGGGGAGGCGTCGGGCACAGGAGCTGGAACGTGAGTCGGATGGGGACAGATCATCTCATCTTGCTCTACCTGATCCTTCTCGGGAGTGCATCGAGCTGATCTCGAAATAATCCTTCTTTCTCTCTTTGCACTTCGAATTTGCCTTTTGTCTTCCCGTCGTCCTGGGCTCACCTTGCTTCGTCCGTATACACCGTACTCCATCCGAATTCTCGGCTCGACCACCCTCCGGAACCCTTCGGTATTCGGGATCGTCTTATGGCAACATCAACAACACAGACCCGCACCCAGACGGTTCGGAGGAGGGATGTTTCGCCGGAACCCGAGCAAGACGTCATAATAGGTCTGTGTTGTTCCTGTAACAGAAACTAGTCGACGAGAGGAGGGATGAATTCGAAGGACTATGTGTCTCTGGGCGGTATTGCTACTCTCAAGATTGTTGGCACATTCAGATCGGCGAGCTGTCTCAGAATCAGGAGGATTGGGGAACTTGTCTTATCTGAAGCCCTCCTGCCACCAGAACCTCCTCGGAATGTTTAAACCTGCTCGAACCCGTGCTATGGTGTAGCTTGTAGATATGAAGACACATTTGTAGAGACGATCGATCGATAGATTGTTGTCAGTAGCAGCAGCTCAACAGCTTCTCGCTTCTTATTCAGATCCTTCTGATTGAATAACAACGACTAGCTGTTCATCTGCTTTATCGATCGAGCTATACTGTCCACCGAATCTACAAAACTCCAAATGCCACTTGAAAAACATCGCTCGCTCCAATGAGCCTTCTTGACAAACTCGACAACCCGTTTATTTTATTGCAAGGCTGGCTCAACAAGAAGCCATGTCGACCATGGAGATCACCTGCGACGAGATCCTGAGCAATCCAAATCCTCGCCTGTGCATCAAAGCTCTTGTATCCGTCATAGACCCGGCAAAACTAGCCGTTCGCTCATGGCCAAGCAGGACCAAGGCCAAGACGGAAAAGACAGATGCGGGAACGATCAAAACGGCCAACCTCTTCCTCCGGACGGTCGCGTATGGAATTCCTCAGCAGGGTATTCATCGGTATCAAAGGTGTATCCAGAACCAGAAGATCTGCTTCATGGTCAATGGTCAACGATCCTTTTAGCTCGAGCGCGATTCCTCTTCATACGATACCGCCCTTGTCCGAGCTCAGCGTCAAAGTACATTGATTACTGACCGATCCAAGACTGAGTTTCTCAACGATAAAGAGAGTGCGGCCTGGGAGTGGGCTCACAACGTGTCCACAAACGACGCTGAAACTCGACAGTGAGGATTTTCTGAGCAGACAATGTTGGCAATCGTGTCATCTGCCGATGTTCCGTGCAGTCAAACTTGATTGTAGTAGTATACCAAGCGTTCGCAAAGAAGGGGGCTTCATGAACATAGAAGAGTAAAGACGTACCATATCATCTTGATCATGACCCCTTAGTAGCCTCACAACCAATATTGCGCTCGTCACTGGCGGGATTGGGTTTCTTCCCACAATCGCCTGTCCTCGTCATCGAGAACTTGACATTGCCTTGCAGCTTCTTCCGATGCGAGGACGAACAAACGCTTGCATAATACCGATCTCGTAAGACATACAACTGCGGATAAACCCGCTTCCTATTCCTCACGTAACAAAGATTCCTGCGGCTCCCATTCTACAGAACGTAACGTACCATCGGTCCAGGTCAGTAAGCCTTGTTTCTCCCAAATCCGAATTCGGTGAGTCCGACTCACCCGGCTCCGACACACATCGACGTGCACAAGACTTGGCCTTCGCCGCCCCTCCTCTTGAGCTCGGCGAGACCGGTGACTACTTGGCGCACTCCGGTGCATCCTAAGATTGAGGGAAGAGGGACACGGTTCGCTGATCAGCGCTCGATTCGGACGTTCGGATCGTCTCTGTTTGCTCACCAAGCGGATGTCCCAATGCACTGATGACAAGCAACATAGCATTACACGAATGAGTGTGTCAGCCGTTTTCCACGAAAAGCGCATCGTCCAAAGGGCGTCCCAACCAGATTGAGACTCACATGGCACCCCCGTTGACGTTGACCTTTTCAATGTCCAGACCGAGCGTCTCGACGCAATAAGCGTACATCGATCCGAACGCTTCGTTGATCTGCGTGGACAATAACGATATAGTCAGATATCATCGAAGCAACAAATCACGATGACGACGGAAGAAAAGCGAGCCCTCGGGTCTTACCTCCCAGAGATCCACGTCGTCCTGCTTGATGCCAGCTCGTTCGAGCGCTTTCCTGTAAGTCGGCGAACGTAAGACCATCACCGGGTCAGTCATCTCTCGACATGACATAAACCTACTACCGCTTCAACCTCTAAGGACTCACGGGATAGCGACCACAGGTCCGATCCCCATCACCCTGGGGGCGACACCGACGAAGCTCGTAGCCACATGTTTAGCCAAGACCTCTAATCCCAACTCGTCGGCTTTCCATCGGGGCATCATGATGACCATCGCTCCCCCGTCGGTCACTTGGGAAGAGTTGGCACCGGTGCTCCTGGCGTCGCCGTAATCCTTGAAGGCGGGTTTTCCGGCGCGCATCTTTTCTAGGGTCTGACCGTGTCTTATCCCATCGTCCTTGTCCGCGAGCACGTTCGTCCTCTCAGAATTAGGGTCCTTCGGGTCGACTAAGACGGAGGTTGAAACCTTGATGATCTCCCCGTCGAATTTCCCAGCCTGCTGTGCGGCAGACGCTCGGTTATGGGAAAGAAGACCGTATTCGTCTTGTTTTTCACGCGAGATGGAGTATTCGAGGGCGAGCATCTCGGAGGTCCAGCCCATTGGTTTGGCACAGTCGACGGAGGGGGCGTGGGATTGGACGGCTTGGGAGCCAAAGTGAGGGGTTGGGCGGGGGCTACAATAGCAGGGCGGAGCGAGAAAAAAAAAGGGAAAATCCAGAAGTGATCAGCCGGTGCATTTCTCCTCTACCCTCCCGCTGCATCTCTCCCCCGCCTCATAGCAATCAAATCGCCAACGAGTCCCGACTCACTGACTACTCATACTCTCATACCCCACCGCCACACCCACCTCCAAATCCCCTCTAGCAACACTATCGCTAATATGCCGGATAGCCATCAGACCGCTGGAACAAAGCCTGTTTATAGCTTGGACAGGGGTGGTTTCGGGGAACCCGGCGGCGAGGGAAGAGGCGCGGAGTTCGTAGGCTGGGGAGGGGGGGTGGCAGGTACCTGCAGTTGCGAGTAAAGAGGGGATGGGGTGTGAGTCAGGGTTCAGAGAGATGGGGTGGGTATTTTATTTGATTCGAGGAAGATGACGTACCAGCGATGATATCCCCGACGATCTTCTTGTCTACCCCACTCTCCTCCATCCCCCGCTTCAAGAGCTCGTACAACAAGCTATCGGAGGATGTATCCCGGAAAGCGCCCTTTTTGGCTCGGGTTAGGGCTGTTCTTTTGGCGTACTATCGTATCCATACCGAGAGCGATCAACTCGATGACATCGTTAGCTGCATGTCCGAACCAGGTGCCAGACTTCATCTTCATCGAGAGACAAAACAAGACGCCAGGAGGCTGCTGAAGTTGAGAAGAAGAATGGGGACTCACGGTGATGACCACATCGTCAGGCTTGTTCTGTCGAAGCGCGGCCAGGTCTCGAAGCACGCTGGAACTGCTCAGGTTTCGAGCGCGGGCGGCGCTGTTGCCGAGCGGGGTCGCTGTCGTGGTCGTTCGGGCGGCGAATCGATTGAGGAGCATGATGGGTCGGCTTTTGCGTTTCAGTCAAATTGCTTGGTCCTGTTTCGTGTGTATGTTTGCCAATGTGCAAGTTGTTGAAGTGAGAAACACGAGTCTCGAGGTCAGAAATAGGGGTAAGTGAGGTCAGCATCATGAAATAGAATAGCGGGGCATCTCTCTCTCCCCCCCCCTTCGGAAGCAAAATAAAGCGGGGCATCCCGGGTGAAATGGTATTTCCGGGCAGAGTGGGGATAGGGGTAAGGGTCGACCGAAGACGTCCGACAGACATATCGTCGACAACGTAACGACTCACATCATATCACCTTGGGCCATAGGATCATAGGATCGAAGCTATCATAGCAAGATCGGTCGTCATCTCGAATCGCACTCGAAAGTCACAGGAAAATCGCGCGAAACACCAAACATAAGAAGAAAAAGCGATGGACCCCAACGCTCTCAACTTGAACGCGAACTTGAACTTGAATTTCATGACTTCCACCCCGAACGAAGTCATCCCCATCCTCTGTGGCACTTTCACCTCGGTCTACCTCTACATCCTCTCTTTCTCCACCCTCACGCGGAAGTTGTCAGTACATAAGAAGGTATCGGCGGTCGGGCCGCATCAGTACCTAGCGTTGAGTCCGGGGAGGGATACGCTTTATGCGACGGGGTGGGGGTGGACGCCGGGGTTGTACGCTTTTGGGATCAAGGACGGCAGTAACGACGATGATGGGAATGGTGGGGATGGTGGTGAGAAGGAAGGGGAGGTAGGCAGAGCTGGAGAACCGTGGAAGTTGACATTGGATTACAAGGGCAAGACCCCGATCAGTGAGTCCACCGAAACGTATCCTCTATGATATCTTCTACCATATCCTCTGTCACATCATACACCCCAACTCCAACCCCCCATTCGACCTCGTACTTTCCCTATTGACGACCAAAAAAACCTCGCTTGCCCATCCTCGAAACAGCCGCCATATCATCATACATAACGATCCACGAAAACTACATCTATTCCATCGGAGGGCCTACGGGGGAGGTACATGCGGCCCCTTCTTCTTCTTCTTCTTCTTCTTCGACTTCTGGATCAAAAGATGGGGAGGTGGACAACGATAACGGCTTTGGGAAGAAAATACAAGAGATGGTTTATGTACCGGAAGATAAGTTGGGGGGGTGGGAGAAGACGAATAAAGCTCTGGTGAGTTTCGGTCTCTGTGTGTGTTGGCAATCTTTGGATTTCAGATCATAGTCGCACGGGATGGGGTTGGGGAATCGCTTGGCTGATAACCCCGTCCTTGTTCTTTTTCTCTTTTCTTTTTTCCCGTGGGAACTTGAATTTGGGTTTGGGGTTGAGCTATTGTACGATAGAGGTACGGAGCGCATGGGATCGAGTTTGATAAGCGGGGGAGGGGGTATGTGCCGGATCTGTGAGTCTTTCGGCTCTCTGTTTTTGTCCGGGGTGGATCTTCGTTTGCTTTTTGACGGGGTGGACTTGAGGTTATGATAATGATCGCGACGATTGCTGACCATGCTTTGCGCTGTCCGCTACGAATTATTTGGAATCGATTTTGATGTCCCACCTTGGTCATCTTCAATATACGATCGATACGATCTACATCGATATCTACCTCGCTCTACCTCGTTGCAACTCGTCGCGAGACAAATAGTGGAGAGAACTGTATCTGGATCCACCAAGCTCAACCGGACGGGACCCTTACGCTGGTGGACAAGCACGTCTCTTCCAGGCCGCATGATGGGCCTAGGCATGCTGTGGTCGGGAGAGGAGAGACGAGCAAGGTCTTGTACGCGGTGAGTTGGGGGCGTCGGTCCTTCAGCTGGGAATGACTTGCTTGTGCTCCGTTGCTGACTGTTATTCTTCTTTGGATTCTTCCTGGACAACGTTGTGTGCGGACTTATAGGTCACCGAGCATACTCAGTTCGTGGACGTCTATGATCTCACCGAGTCCGGGTTGAGCTATGTTCATTCGTCGAGCTTGATCCCCGCCGGTGAGTCGAATCTCTGAGAACGCGATACGCTGCGCAGACTTCTGATGCAGACATCTCGCTTCTGTGCGCCCGTGCTGCCACTTTAGACGCCAACCCTGACGACTATCGCGGCGATACCATCCGCACGTCCCCCTCGACCCCGTTCGTCTTTGCGACCACCCGTGGCAAGACGAGCTCGACCCGCGGTTACCTCTGCGCCTACGCCCTAGATCCACACACCGGCCACCTCGTCTCCCCCTCTTCCACGCCCAGCGCGGTTTTTCAGACGCCGACCAGCGGAGGCCGGGCCAACGCCATCGAGGTCATTGAGACCAGGGGGAGGGGGCGAGGGGACGAGCTCGAGTGGATAGTCTTGACGGACGAAGAGGAACGGCTCGTACTCGTCATCTCTTGGAACGGGGTCGAGTTTGTCGAGGTCAGCCGGGTCCAGCTGGAAGAGGGGGACGGGGCGAGTCATGCCGTCTGGTTGGAGTGAGGCTAGGGTCTCCCCGTCTGTAATGGCGATGAAAGAAGAGTTTCTGCTTGACTTTGGGATAGATGTTGTATTTCGTGGTGCATACGGTTTCATGCCTATTTCGTCTCACAGGAATATCGAGCTCGGCAGCGGCGCCTGGAACGACAAGCCCATTTCAGTATGGCCTGAAGATTAAGACGAGGTAACCGCTACTCTGATACACATCGGGACAGAAAATAGAATCGGATACCTCAATCGGTTTGTCAGAAAGGGCGAAGGTAGATGGAAGAATGGCGGACTGGCTGGATACTCGGACGCCATCCCTAAGAGTTTCAGGATGTCAGCAATACCAAAAACATGTTCAAGCTGCCATCTACGTTGTGCCGAATTGCTTTCTCGGACTTTCATTCTGGAGACGACCACTGAAGGCGAGGTTACAGATCGTATCGTGGCAATGAATACCAGACGACGTGCTTCGATCTGTCCTATCCGATCGTACTATGTTCATATGAGTTCATCTCGATATCCTATCCTGCTCATTGTTATTCAGAAATACAACCCATTTTCGCTCACAAGAATCCCGTGCATCCCTTTCCTACTCGCCCCCCGCCCTGCCGATCCTACTCGTCGTTCACGCAGTTGTTCACTTCTACTCCCAACCCCACCCCCAACTAATTATCAATCTCAATCTCCTACTTCTTCTGCGCCTGAAGCGCCGCAGTAGCCTCATACTCCTTCCACAACCCAAACGCCCGGAAACTCCTGTACGAGCACAGAGGGTCCAGGGCGTCTGTGTACCAGGATGAGAGGGATGTGAAGGGGTCGGAGGTGAGGATGGATGGGTCGGAGAATTCTGGTGGGGATGTAGAGCGTACAGCATAGCATGTGAGACGGGGATTGGAATGGGTGAAAGGCGGGTCAGCGTTTTGTGGACATTGATATGTTCTCGTGATGAGGAAGGGAACATCAGAGTGATAGAGGCAGAACTAGAGATCGAACGATCGAACGACCGACAACTCTACCGAAGAAACACCACAGACAGACCCAGACCTAGATCTAACTCGGACTTACCGACGACCTCAAGAACGCTCCCTACATCCTCCCCCTCACTCCCCTCCGCCCTAACCCTAAGCCCGCTCCGGACGATATCTACGCTGTCGAACTTTCGTACTCGGATGAAGCCGGGGAGGGCTGAGTAGCGGTTTTCGGCCGAGGTTAGGAGGGCGGATAGTTCTGATGATGAGGAGGTGGAGGTGGTGGTGGAGGTGGAGTCGGAGGAGGTGGTGGGGGTGAGAGCGTGGAAGATGACCAGTTTGGGATGCGGGGAGGTAGGCGAAGGCTCCGATTGCTCCGATTGAGAGGATGGGGTGGATGGGGAGGAGGAGGATAGTTTGTAGATCTGTATATCATGTCGTGTCGTAAAAAATCGAAATCGAAATCGAAATCGAACAGAGATCAATATATATCAGGAAGACACCCAAACCAAACAAAAAACAAACAAAAAGGAGTTTGGATTTAACGTACCCTCCGATCCAGGACCCCTAGGCTCGCTACGAGCTTCCCTTCCCTCTCACTCCGATTCGCCCTTAGCTTTGTGTACCGATCTTCACCGAAGAGGGTGTTATCGCTGATACTATACATGGCGGCCCATTTGGGCTCTTTGTTGTCATGGGCGACGTAACGGGCGGCGGTGTTGAACTCGGGGAGGGAGGAGGTTCGGAGGGGGATGTGTTCGTTGTCGTACCAGTCTGTCAGGGTTGAGCGGTAGTAACAAAAAGAGGAGACAGAAGAGAGGAAAGGGAAGAGAGGAATCAGGTCTTGCGGTCTTAGGGGTCTAGACGGTAGAGGTAGCGTGTGATAGCATCACGGGACCCACCGTGAAACTGCTCTTCGGTGACCTTTTCGCCGAGCTCGGCAAAGACCAACAAGAGTCCGGGTCCGGCTTGAAATTCGGGCATGACGTGATGTTTTCTTCTTAGTCTTTTTCTTGGTTTGAGATTGTCAGGCTGGTGAGGTCGTCGATGCTGACGAGGTAGATGAAGATGACGAACTGGTCGAAATGGTTATACCTCGACATCGACATGGTCACGGAGACTTGGATGTTCCGTCCACTCTGTTGCCCCGCCCGGAAGTATATTTGCCCCGCGCGCTTACGTGGAAACACACCCGCTTCGGGTGAATTATACTTCCGGGCGGGGCAGAAGGGGAGATTTGCTTCCGCGCCACTATGAGCGTGTACATCATCATGCATGGACCATTTCGTCGACAAACATCTACCTTCTTGTCTCAACTCGACGACCCCAGCGCACCTTACACCAGACACCCATCACTTTATTGAAGCAACGCAAACATGCCACGAGTCCCTTACCGCTACCCAGCCCCTTCCACCGACGCCGTGGCCGACAGGATCCGCGCAAGACGAGGCGCACGCGGGCTCACCCCGCTCGATGGGATGTTGCTCAACGCTCCGAACGTGGCCGATGGGTGGAACACGTTTGTAGGAGGTCTGAGGACGAGGACGAGTTTGAGGGATGATTTGAGAGAGTTGATGGTGAGTCCCGACTGGCCCTCTTTGATTCCTGACGTCGATTCGTTTGTCGGTTGCTGAGCGATGGTCAAATTGTGGCCGGTACTGTAGATCCTCCGAGTAGCAGCGTGTAACAACGCAGCGTTCGAATGGATCCACCACGAACACGTCGCACGTAAAGCTGGCTTGTCTTACGAACAACTGGCTGTCATCGGACATGTCGCGGCTCCATCTTCTTCCAACGACACAGACGCTTCTCAACCCGACCAAGCACGCGGGGAGAAGCTTTCGACGCTCCAAACTGCAGCCCTGGATTTCGCAGACGCTTCCACCCGACACGTCCACATACCCACCTCCATCTTCGAGACGTTCAAGGAACACCTTTCTTCCGAGCTCCAGAGGAGCGAGGAACGCACCAAGGATATCAATGGCGGAGAGGTTACGGCGGAACAACAGATCGTGGAAGCAGCGGCGGTCGTAGGGGGGTATAATCTTGTCAGCAGGTTCTTGGTCGCGCTGGATGTGGATGATAAGGCCGAGCTCTTTGTGCCTATTCCTAGGGTGGAGAGGATCTCCATCCCTGTTGGCGGCTCTTCGAAATCGGACTCCTTGCATACGGTCGGATCGGAACCCGGCTCGCAGGCTTCGCTGCACGCCGTCTACCTCCCACGTCAGGGGGATCAGACGGACAAGACGTTGGTCTTTGTGAATTCGCTCTTGACGAATTATAGGATGTGGAGGTATACCTGGGAGAGGTTGAATAGGGATTATAATCTGGTCTTTTATGATCAGAGGGGACATGGGGGGTCGTACGCGCCCACCACCAAGGGCGAGTTCAACGAGGAAGGGGATGGGAAGGAGGGAGGAAAGGAAAAGTGTACCATGGACATGCTCGCAGACGATCTCCTCGCCGTGCTCGAACATTTCAAGATCGAAAAAGCCCACGCGGTGATCGGGATCTCGCAAGGAGGAGCTACCACCCTGAATTTCGCCCTCCGGTACCCGTCCCGTGCGGGCAAGGTTGTCGCTGGCGCCACTCAAGCTAAATCACCCGAAGCGAACATCAAGGCGTGGGACGAACGTATTCAATTAGCCAGGGAGGAAGGGATGGGCAGGTTGGCGGATGTGACCATCCCAAGGTGGTTTGCTGAGGGATCGTCGTTTGACAAGGATAGGGATTATGGCTGGTTGAAGCAAGGGGTCGAGGGGACGACGGTGGAAGGGTTCGCTTACAGCGCAGCGGCGTTGCAGGGGTACGACCTCCTCGCTGCGGGGCTCGTCGATGCGTTGTCTAAACGTCCTGAGGGTACGACCATGCTCCTGGCAGGGGAGATGGATGGGAAGCTTCCTGATGGGTTGAAAGCTCTGGGAAGGGAGGTAGAAGAGGCAGGTGGGAGCGTCAGGGTCGAGGTCGTCCCGAGGGGAGGACATTTGCCTTGCGTGAACGAGCCCGAGGCGTTCTTGGATGTCTTGTGCGAGTTCTTGAAGGAGTGAATGAACGTCTGCGATCGGTGTGGAGTGAGGAGGTCTGGTTTTGTAGGTGGGAGAAAAAGGGCAGCGTGTATAGAAGCTGTCATCGTGATCTTGTATGAATGGCGAAAATGATTCTGGAATTTCGTCTGGATGGGGAGGGGCACTGGTCACTCGCTCGAATGGGGATCGAGCCGAACGCAAGAGCATCAAGTCATCGAGTGACAGCAGCTGCATGATAGGCTCGAAGTCATACGGGTTGTACACAACATATACGCTCTTGCCGCTTGTTTGCGGCCTTTCCCCCGTTTGTTTCGCTGAGACCACTTTCGGATTGGGGCTACCGGTAGGCTGGAAAGGGAAGGTGCGCTTCCAGCACGACGATAGTATCAGCTGGATTGTAGTTCGTAACCCTTGACGAAGTTCCGTCAAACGCCTCATCGATTCGCCAAACCCTTATTCGCTTCACCTCGCACTGTCAGAATTCTGGATCATCGAGACGATGTCCATTTGCTCTTGTCATGTTATATGATACACGTCGATTTCAATTCGTCTCGTCGACTACAGCTCCTCGTGTACGGCCGCGGTCGGCTCGGCCAACTTGGACGCGAACCTGTCTTTGCCCTGTTCGACGGACCACTTGATCTGCGAGTAATCGGCCGTCGAGTTGATGACCTACAGCACGTCGCCGGGAGATTTCGATATCGATATCGTCAGCACTCGGTTCGAATTGAAGCAGAATTCGAAGCGCGACTCACGACGGTGATGAACCCTTGCAAGCCCTGGGAGATGACGGAACCCATATAGTGCATATCCCACATGCTCTGGTACCCGCCGATCTGGGAATCCTCAAAGATGTTCAACGAGTCTTGCCAGTTCCTAGTTCGACCTCGACCGGGCATCGTTCGGAGGTGGTTGTTGACCTGCAGTCGTCGAGCTGTCAGCAGGAAGACCCTCGACCACATGGCGTTGCCCTGGACGGTGACTCACATAGGGGTACATCATGTCCACGGCCGAGTTGATGTCGTCCTGCACGAACAGCTGACCGGTATGGGCGAGCGTCTTGCCGATATAAGTGTTGTTGGGGAGGACCTCGAAGTCGGGGTGTACACGGATGTGCCAATGGGTCGCACGACCTTGGTAGTAGCCTGTTCGACGTCGCCACATATTTCATATTTTAAGGTTAGTAAGAGGGAATGGCAAGATCTTTCAATCACTCTCGTGAACTCGCCTGGGAAAATGGACTGGAACTCGACGATCCCGTTCCGATCAGAGATCTGAGCGCCCCGCAGCCAAGTCTCTCCATCGTGGTCTCGGGGGTAAGCAGCTGATCGCCAAGGTCGGGGAGGGATAGGGTTCAGCTTGAGATCGACTTTGTCTTCGAGGTCTCTTCTAAAGGTGAACTTACACAAGAGTCCTTTTCGATGCCCCTCCTTAGCAGGCTCTTCATCGGTCAGATGAGCATGCGGTCGAGGGTGCCCAGCGTAGTATCCTGAGATATGATCGTGCACGAGTCAGATCGATATCCCAGACGATGTTGACAAGTCGTTTTCCCGGCACAGGACTCACCGAGAGCGTCACAGTGCCAAATGTCGAGCAAGACGTTTTCTATCGGCTCGCATGTGTTCACGTCGATCAAACCGATCTGCATGTTCCTACCATCCGTGAGATCAAGATAGGGGTTGTTTTTGCCTTTTAGTTTAGCCAAATCGACTTGTGGGGTTGTATATTCGATTCGAATGGGATGCTTACATGGGAAGACCGTCCTTGAGCTCGCCCAGGTTGGACCGGATGGGATGTTCGCCGTCCTGCATGAAAATTCAAAGTCAGTCATAAAGTTAAGACTTGCGACGAACCCGAAAGTTGACGTACGTGGAAATAAGGCCCCTCGGTCACCTCGGGAGCCAAGACGCAAGTATGGTTCCGGATCTTGCTCCCCGCTACAGCTTCACAAGCCAAGATCCTCTTATCCCCGCTATCCGTCTCGTGCGCCCCATCGATGGATTTCATCTGTTGGGCGATATCTTCCCATCCACCCTCGACGAAACGCCTCTTTTCCGCATAAGAAGCCCCCCCGAGCACTTTTTGAGCCCAGGCTCGTTCTCGTTGAGCGTTGTAAGCTGCGATTTGGGGTGCGCAGAGGTAGGAGGCTTCTTTGAGCTTGTTGAGGGAGGCCTTTTCTTCGGCCGATTTGGGGCCTTCGTGCGAGTGCCCTGGGAATCGAGGTTGAAAGGTCAGTATGAGAGCAGGAGAATAGGGCATTTCGAGACTCACCTGCTACGGCGGCAGCGCCGGCGAGGGCGAAGATGGATGATTGGAATAGGGTCAACATGACAGATGTAGGCCTCCGTAGGTGGGGAGATCAAAGATTGGAGAAGTCGTTTACGAGCTAGATCCTTCAAGCCCGGTTGTTCACAAGTCGAGTCGACGAGTCAATAGCATCGATTCTCATTCGTCCTCTTCTATATCGAGAGACCTTTGGCGAGGTGTGTGTCCCCGCCCCGCTTTCCCCCGCAAGACACCCGACCCGACGAGGACGAGGCTCGACCATGTGGCCAACCTGGCCAACTGGGATGGGATGGAGTTACCAATTCACCGAGCGGGGCAACTGTTCGAGCGTGTCAACACCCGTATGGACGAGGGGGAAAGCGGGGCCAAAAGGGGGGTGGAAGTGGGGTTGACCCGGATGCGAGACTTCCGTAGAGGATTCGGGTCGGAACTCGTACTTTAGGGTATAGATGCACAACTTGAGCAAGATGTAGCTGTCACAGCGATCCTAGTCGTTCGATTTGTTTCTGATCTGATCAATCATCCCAGCCGTATCGATCGTCCGAAATCTGAAGGAAACTCGCGCGCGAACAATCAATCAATCATTCAACGAGATCCACGACCTGATTTACAACACGATGCCCATCCTCACTCGCCGAATCAACTCCCTGGTCATCTCCACGACTAGCCGTGCAAGCCGGACGGTCTTCCGAACTTACTCTCAACATGTGCCCAAGAGCCACAAGGTCTACGCGTCGGCTGATGAGGCTGTGAAGGATGTCAAAAGCGGGGATATCCTTTTGAGCGGAGGTGAGTCCCTTCATAATCAGTAGCTGAAGATCTGATGGTGGGCGGGAATAGGGGTTGATCATTAGATTTTCGATATTGGCAAATGGTTGCTATGCATCAGGATTCGGACTATGTGGAACGCCCAACACCCTCATTCAAGCCCTAGCCAAACGACCGGAGATCACCAACCTCACAGGCGTCTCCAACAACGCCGGTGTAGGCTCCAAAGGGCTCGGTCTCTTACTGGGGTCGGGTCAGATAGGGAAGATGATCGCTTCCTACATCGGAGGGAATAAGGAGTTTGAAAAGCAGTATTTGACGGGGAAGATCGATGTGGAGTTGACACCACAGGGGACGTTGGCGGAGAGGATAAGGGCGGCGGGGGCGGGGATTCCGGCGTTCTTTACGGCTACTGGGTTTGGGACGCCGGTTCAGGATGGGAGTGTTGCTATGAGGAATGGACCTGATGGGAAGGTAGGTTTTTTTCTTCGCGATCACGGGGGCGACTTTACATTTTCCGCTCAAGGTGAGGTCTTTCTTGCTGACACTCCCCCCCTCCTATCTCGTGCAGGCAGTCAAATACCCCTCTAAACGAGAAGTCCGCGAATTCAACGGCAAGCAGTACTTGATGGAAGAAGCTATCAAGGGGGACGTCGCCTTTATCAGAGCTTGGAAGGTCGACGAGGCGGGCAACGTCGTCTTTAGGTACGCGGCGCATAATTTCAGTGCGGCGATGGCGAGGAGCGCGAGGATGACTATTGTTGAAGTGAGTCAATGTCCCCCCTGCCTGCCGTGGTCGTGGTCGGGGTTTTTACGTACGAGGCATTGAGGCGTACAGAGGCTGACAAATAGATGCTCGTATTGTGTTATTATCGTATTGCGATCATAGGCGGAAGAGATCGTACCTATCGGCTCGCTCGACCCGATGGAGATCCACCTTCCGGGGATCTACGTGAATAGGATCGTCAAAGCGACCACACCCAAAGAGATCGAGATCGAGACTCTGGCGCCCGAGCCGGGGAATGATGATAAGGAGAAGGCTAGTCTGGGGACGGGCGATGCGAGGGCGAAGAGGGAACAGATCGTCAAGGTGAGTTCGAGCTAGATGAGGGACAAGACTCGTGGTCGCTTGGCACGAGTACTGATGAGATACTCACTTTGGATGCAACTCGCAGCGAGCGGCCTTGGAGTTGCAAGACGGATTCTACGTCAACCTAGGGATCGGGATGCCCACCCTGATCCCAAATTTCTTGCCTGAGGGAAGGAACGTCTGGTTGCAGTCCGAGAACGGGATCTTGGGGATGGGTCCGCTACCCACGAGAGCTCAGATGGACGCTGATATTATTAACGCTGGGAAGGAGACTGGTAGGTCGTCAACCCTTTCGTTCCGCTGCTGGGAAAAGACAGCTTATGCGAATCTTCGTGTCTATTCGATAGTCACCTTGATGCCTGGAGCCGCGACGTTCGATTCGGTCGAATCGTTTACCATGATCCGAGGGGGACACGTCGACGTCTCGGTACTAGGCGTGAGTCAGAGAACCCTCATATTATCGAACCTACCCATAAATCGCACGCTATCAAGAAGCTAATCATCATCAATGTCATTTTCGCTGCAATTCGCAGGCCATGGAAGTGAGCGCAGCAGGAGATCTAGCCAACTGGATCATCCCGGGGAAACTCGTCAAGGGAATGGGAGGCGCGATGGATCTGGTCTCTTCGCCCGATGAGACCAAGGTCATCGTGGTGACCGATCACTGTGATAAGAAGGGCCGACCGAAGATTCTGGATACTTGTTCGTTGCCGTTGACAGGGTCGAGGTGTGTGAGCATGATCATTACCGAGTTGGTGAGTTATAGTCCTATACGCGGCGTCCTTGTCCCGGCCTGTTTCCGGGGGTATAGAGACGGCAGAAGCTCATGATTCTTGTTCTTGTTCTCGTCGACATGATAGGCCGTCTTCGAGATCGACCGAAAAGCGGGGAAGATGACCCTGATCGAGCTGATGCCCGGTGCGACGCTAGAGGAGGTCAAGGCCAAGACGGGAGCCAAGTTTGAGGTTGGCGCGGGGATCGAGGAGAAGCAGGTCTGAGCGGACGCGGACGCAGGGGGCAGGCGCGGGCGATGTGATGTGGTGTACAAAGGTGGAAATGGGTTTTTGTGGATATGCTTTCGTATAGATCAATAACGATACAACTTTATGGGTTTAGATTCAGATTCGGACTTTAAAGTAATTGAAATTTGTTGTTACGGTCTGAGCGCTTTGAAACATGGCTTGGCGTGTCGCATTGTCTTGATCAGTTTGATCGGGGGATACGATCAGCATCCCGCCTTGAGCAGCCATCTTTGCCACTGCTTGTCGTTCGAAATGGTACCCAAGCTACGCATGGACCCAGCAAAAGAGGTTCGAGGATGCGGTGCGCCGACAGATAGGATGACTATGCCCTGGTGATCCGATCGCTAGTCACACGATGCGACGAGGCTGAAGGGTCCCACATTTTACAATTCATTCGCAAGGTCCCGTCCACATGCTCGTCACCATTTGCATCTCGACCAACGACAAGCGGGGACGGCAGCCTGTTTCACGCAAAGCGAGTGGACATCCAGAGCTGTTCTCCATGTCCGTATCGCATGTCCCGCCCTGGCTATGTGACGGATTCGACGGGGCCGGGTTACGTTTGCCCCGCCATCGGCGATCGAGTGAAGCGGGGCAAGTGATGAAGGGGTCAGTGACCTTGTGACCTCGTCCTCGACGAAACAACGATGATATATTTATTAGCAACAGCGAGACCTGACCATCTTTTTCAAGCGTCGAGCATTCCCACTCTTGACATCCTATCTGCACAAGAATTCCTCAGATTCATAAAATGGCTACCCCTAACATTTCTACCATCGACGAGAGGGAGGAAGGAAACCGCGCGGCTTGCAAGTCATCTTGACAACATACTTGTGGAGCCCGGACAAGTTTACTGACTGTCATCCTCCAATTAGACGAGCACAACTACCCGCCCCATAATGAGACTATCAGCAAGAAAGAATACGACGTCGTAGTCATCGGAGCTGGTCCGGCCGGTAAGTCCCACTCCGTCTCCTTGCGCCACTCGATAAGACGAGCTCATTCCATCTTATGATAATGATTTGGGATACAGGTCTGATGCTATGTACGGCACTGGCTAGGTTCGGAGGACATAGTGTGTTGGTAGTGGATTCGAGGCATGAACCTACCACGGCCGGTCGGGCGGATGGGATCCAGCCTAGGACTATCGAGGTCTTGAAGTGAGTTCGGCGTCTCCTCTTCATCTCCGAGGTTTCGAGGTTTCGAGGTTTCGAGGTTTCGAGGCTTGAAAGTGGAATCTCAACCCCTTATATCATCCCGTGTTGCATTACATCACGTTTACAGGAACATGGAACCCCTAGGTTCAGAGCTATTCAGACAATCCGCAGCGTCGTACGAGAGGACTTTTTGGGTACCCTCTACGGACAAAAACGGCAAAGAGACCATCGTAAGGGATAGGAGGGTACAGAGTTTCCCAGAGTACTTGGAGATCGAGGATGGGTGTACTTTGGGTTTGCAACAAGGTGAGTCGTAGTCGCGAGGTAGGGAATGACCTGGTCCGGTACACATTGTTGTTGTTGTTGGTGGTATCGAGCATCTTGCTAAATGGACTCGATTTGTGGACTTGGGATTTTTTAGGAATGATCGAAGAGGCTTTCTTGAGGGATATGGAACGCAACGGACTCCGCGCCACCCGATCGTTCAGCTTCAAATCGTATACCATCGACTCCAACTCCAACGACTCTTCCAACGAGGATCATCCGGTAACCGTCGAACTGACCAAAGGCCCTACTACCGAAGGTGGCAAAGACGGAGGAGAGGTGACCACGGTCAAGTGCAAGTATTTGGTAGGATGCGATGGAGGGGGGAGCGCTGTGAGGCAGTTTGGGATTGAGAATCATGGGTTGAGCTTTGATGGAGAGCTTTTGAGCACGCTGTGGGGTGCGGGGGACTTTGGTGAGTGATGTGTCAATCCGCTGGGGGTGAGATGTTACTTGGTGAGCATCGAGCTGACGACGTGATCTTGCGCTCGTTCAGTCGTCAAGACCGATTTCCCTGATATCAGAAAGATCGCAGCGATCCACAGCGCCAAGTGAGTGATCATTAACAAAGCCCTTGCATCTGGCGCTGCTCGCTGACTGAGGAAACGTCTCGTCATTTCTGACTTGCAGTCAAGGATCCGCCTACGTGTTCCCCCGTGAGAACAATATCGATAACCAGCCGATGATCCGGCTGTATACCCAGGTCAACATGCTCAACGGGCAAAAGAGCACGATGGACCCGCAGGAGATGAGGTGGAAGGTTACCGCGGAGGATATCATGGATGCTGATAAGCGGGTGAGTTGGAGGGCATGATGGTGGATTTAAACTGAGTCGGTATGGAGATGAGCTGACCTGGAATGATTGCGTCGTAGATCTTCGCGCCGTATAACCTCGAGTTTGTAAAGACGGAATGGTGGAGTGCTTACCCTATCGGTCAACGGTTGGTCAACAAGTACGATGTCCAGGGACGGGTCTTTATGGCAGGTGGTGAGCCTCAAATCAACGACAAGCGATACAGACGGGCGTATACTGAAGACTCTCTGTAACAGACGCATGCCATACTCACTCGCCCAAAGCCGGTCAGGGCATGAACACGGCCTTGATCGACGCGCATAACCTGTCCTTCAAGATGAACCTCGTCCTGCGTGGTCTGGCTGGTCCGGACTTGCTCAAGACCTATAACGAGGAGAGGTGGAAGATCGGCAAGCAGTTGATCGATTTCGACGAAGAGTACGCCGCGCTCTTCTCAGGAGAGGTACCGAGGAACTCGCCCGAGGTCGCCAAGATGAGCAAGGCCGAGGTCAAGCAGCATTTCATCGAGGTGCAGCGAAGGTGAGTGGTGACGCGGTCTGCAGCGATCGGATCGTTTCTCACCCTGAGCATCACTTCATCGAAATAGGAACGCCGCGTTCACCACGGGTGCAGGGGTCAACTATGGCTCGTCGGCTCTGGTCGTCATGAACGATGAGCTGTCTAGGCTCGGTCTTGAACCCCTCTCAGGCTTGAAATTGACAGCCGGTCAAAGGCTCCGGCCCGCAACGTGAGTACTCGCAAAGGTCCTCGACCAGATTCCGACATTCAGCTGAAACGCAATCCCCTTTCCATAGCGTCACGCGGGCGATGACTTCCCAGCCTGTGCGCCTGATCCACGAAGTCCAGTTCGACGCCCCAGGAAGCTTCAGGATCTATGTGCTGGCAGGCAAGCTCAAGGACAACTTTGCCAAGCTTCAAGAGTTTTCTCAATACCTGACATCGTCGAAGAGCTTCGTCAACCGATATCAAGCGTCGATGCCCAAGAACCGCAAGGTCCTTCACGCTGCTACCAACACGGGTCTTGTAGGGTACGAGGAAATCAACCCCTACTTTACTTTCCTCACCATCGTCAAGGACTCACGGTTCAACTTTGAGATCGAGCACCTCAAGCCCTTGAAGGGATTGAATGCGCTGGTCTACGCCGATGACGAAGAGTCGGGCGGGGTCAAGGTCGGTGACCATTTCTCGGAGGCACGTGTAGGTGGCGCACATATCAAGTACGGTCTTCCTGAGGGTGGAATCGTCGTATGTCGACCTGACGGATACGTGGGGGTCGTAGTACCTTTGGAGGCAAAAGGATGGGAAGCGCTCGACAAGTACTTTGACGCCGCGCTCCACCGCACGCAGTCGAATGGCCTGAGTGCTAGCAAGCTGTAGATCGTCCGTTCCCTCTCGTCGTTTCGTGTTACCAAGGCCATACCAAGCGCTTCGTTGTATTGTTCTATAAGGCGTGACCATTCTACTATCTTCCACGCTGAGTACCAATACGTTACATGTTCTGGGCTTGTACAACAGCGGAAAGGCTTGCGCTTGCAGGCGCTAGGTACAACAGCCACGATGTCAGGGATGTGATCCGTGGCGTATTTCTGCTACATCTCGGTCACGTTATCGGCGTTGCATCTCGATCGAATGCCGGGTTTCAGATGTGTAAGACATTTTGGTACTGAGGTATACAGCACGTGAAGATCCTCTCATCAACCGAAGCAGGCGCCAGAATGTGTTAGCCGTTCCGGATTGAACAATTGCCATGCGGTCGCGATGCGTCTTCCATATGCCAAGGGTAAGACATGGCGACGAGAGGCACTTTTGCAATAACGATATCGAGGGAGAATACAGCGTCCAATGAGGTTGACGCTGAATTGAGTACAGTAATCAGGGACACATTGTCACAAGCCGGTATTCATAAAAGTCCCCCTCACCTACATAGGCACTCTGTATCGAAAAAGTTTGGGCGGTGGATCCATGATCAACACCACTTCAGATGTTTCTCAAGCTATATCTTATATGCAAATTGCTCAGAAGCTCAATAATCGCGTACAGTATATGATGTTGGGAAGCCTGGTCTCGAATTTTAACACAAGCTCAGCGGGCTGACGTTCCATAGAGGAAAACATAGATGCTTGAGAGGCACTCGAGGCCTTGGTACACAATGTAAGATAAATGTCGATTGCTGCTGATGACAGGAATCGAAGGTTCACTATTACAGCACCGGTAAGGTTTACATAGTCTCAGCTTCCAAGGGACATGTCAGAGATCATTCCAAGATATCCGCGGCACGACGCTCCTCTTCCTCAGCTTCAGCCCGAGCCTTGTCCATCTGCAGTCGCCTCTTGGTAACGACATCCCTAGCTTTGCTGACTCGAAGCACTTTGGACACTCTCAGCAGAAGTTGCCTCAGTTCCTCATCGTCAAGGTCCAATCCAGACGCGCAAATGCTTTGAGCCACTTTCTGGATCTCAGGTTTGGGCATGTCTCGAGTAAAACCCAGAAGTTTGTTGATCATTGCTTCACTCGCCCTAGGGCGATCCCTGACATCCAATTCTGTGGCAAACAAGTACTGTCGAAAGGCGGCGTCCACCCGACGTTTCTCTTCCAAACTTGCTCCTCTACGATGAGATAATTCTTCGATCACGAGCAGGTCGTTCAGCCTGTCTTCTTCGTGCTGACACAGCTCGGCACCATCGGACATCATGCCTCCCGTAGGACCCCCTGCGTTCGTTAAGGAATCATTAATACACCACTTCGTGTCAGTTGCGGATAAGATCGAGTGAATGTATACAGTATCGGTGTTCTGTATGGTGGCGAGAAGAGGGCAAGAGGTATCGCAGCCGTAGTAGATAGACACCACATTGGACGACCATATAACCCCTATCAGGCTAGGTCTATCACTGCTGTCCAGAGATGCGAGTGGGATACCGGCAAATTCGGACGGTGGGTGCCGTTCAGACAGAACCATTTTCGGCAGATTTACGATTGTCTGTGGTATAAGAATTGATAGTGAGGTTATACAATGGATATTCACTGGAGGCAAATTTGATCACCGTCTATCTATATATCATTCGATTTGACAGCTGACTTGATATTAGGGTATGGGAACAAAGGAGGCGACTTTTAAGTCATTTGACGAATCGGCCACTGGGCTACACCAAAGAAGCTGATGACGCAAGAGATTCATCAAATGACAGCACAGAAGCTGCGCATTTGAACGATCAATGTGACGTGGATGGTCACGTCATGGGTGTAGAGGTCGGCATGACTAAGTGACTAATGACTATAGTCATGACTTTAGTCATTAGTCTGTGATATGACTGACTACTGACTATGGGTTGTTTGTGTGTGACTATGGTGACTGACTAGTTCCGACTAGTTGTGCAAAAATGTCAGGCTCTAATTTACATGTCAGCTTGTGTTTCAGACGGTTAAGATGTAAAGTAGGAGGAGTTTTTTGCCTCTGACTGACTGACTAGGGACTATATTCATTCAGTCACAGGAGTTTTTTGCCACCTAATTGACTAGAATGTGACTATATTCAGTTAGTCACATCCAATGACTGGATATGACTATTCAATCATAGTCAGTTACTGACTACTGACTGACTACTGACTATGCTCATGGCTAGAGAAGTGACTACTGACTAGTCAAAATGACTAGTCGTGCCGACCTCTACATGGGTGTATACGAGAAGCAGACTGGATTTGAAGGTAGGTCTGGCGGGGTTTATGATTTGTCTCTTCGTCAGAACTTTCAAACTTGCTCGCAATGGTAGACAATCGGGTCCAGGACCCTCTCCCGGAGGATGAGATCACAGGACCGACTCGTCATCTGGCATCGTTGCGTATGCAGGAGAAGATGACGATTTTCCTCATACGATCGTGTAGATCAGGACGTCCCGGCTGATCAGTATCGGAAAGAGACAATATGGTCTCGATGGTACTCCCGCCAGGAATCTTGGCGACAGCAGGGACTGTTGCATCAACGACGGTGACAACCACGATTTCTCGCGCACCGAGGGCAAGCGCTTGAGTAGGTTGGTAAGCAGAACGGTGGCAAATCTGAAATCGGCCCGCTCAAAAAGTTCACGCTTGGAAAGCGAAGCTGACAATGACAGCTGGACGGCTGTACAATCGTCACTCTTTCGGAGAGTATTCCTCTATGTTCAGCCTCTTCGCAACGACGACTACAGGTTGATCGCTTCACCACTGGTGATGAATGTCGAAAGCGCTAGAAAAATCTATAATCTTCTCGAACAGGTTCCTCCAGGACTGGCACAGGCAATCGTACCCGCTTGAAAGCGTCAAGCGCAGCGGGACCCTCTCGCCAACATACTTGACTGAACCTCGCTTGACCCGACTCTGTCCGCTAGGGAGTCTGCAAATTCGGCCGGCTCAGGCGCCTCAGATTGGGTTCAGCATCTCTCCAGGTATCACCTCGGATATTCCTGCTGTACTTGCTGGAGGTGGGTAACGACGAGGCGCAGTTTCGTCTGTTACGTCTTATTAAGCCAAACACTTCGCACAGAGACCAACGAGTCCATCTGAGAAGCCATCAAGTATTTGGAGAGGCGATTGCTCCCTCGATTCCGATTAGTTCTGGGTCTGGTCATCCCCAAAAGCATCCCTGTGAGCTTCCCCGCTATTTCGACAGCCTGTATACGGATGCAATCCGTCTCAGCCGGTCTTGGAGGAGGACGCTGCCGGGGGCGGTCAGGTGAGAACCTCCCGGTAGTTGGCAGCGATCAATCTGGTTGCCACTGACTAGAGTATCGTTCTTCAGTACGACTCTCTCACTGGCGATCAAAATCAGTAACATGACATCTGTGCCTAGACTGATTGTTGTAGATAGGCCTATCAGCCTTACTGCGGTAACCGCCTAGCTTCTATGGATTCAAATTACCATGGGCCGATACAGCAGATCTCACCTTTCTGTCAACTCGTATAATGCGACGGTCGAATCGTTCTCGAACGATCCTGTAAAGCAAGCAAGTTTGCAATATGTATTACGGACGAACGGACGAGACAGAAGGTCCCCAGCAACTTTACAACAAGAGAACGATCTATTCCTGCTGAAACAACGTCGAATGACAAAGATCAGTCTAGCCTAATGCAAACGGCCAGTACGAGAAGAATGTTTCCAGCGCAGAACTTCCTCCTAACGACGGGTCCGGTCTTTTGAGCCTGGCTTCGCGCCTTTTCCTCCTCCGCCCCTGTCTACTCCTTTCAATCTGGCTTGCCCTGTCCATCCATCGTACCAGCTGCTCTAGTTCGTTTTCATCAATTTCGCAATTATATTGATGGATAGCTTCTGCTAGTCTGTGAACCTCGTTCTCGTCCTGATCTGGACTAGCATGCTTCGAAAGTCGCTGGAAAAGCTCCTTGTTACTGCCCTCCATCTTCTCGCCTTCTGATTCGGATACTTTGAGGAACAATGAGTATACTTGCTGAAGGCGAGACCTCTTCGCTTTGCGACGCTCAATCTCTTCAAGCACGAGTGTCATGAGATCAAAGCTGAGCGATTGGGTCCTCTCGGAGTCGGCCATTGATTGATCTCTGTAAGCAGATCGAACCAGGACATCGGTTCCACGTTCGGATAGGTGCGAATGTACGGAGATGCTAACGCGTCCCTTGGGATCCTCCATACGCTGTATATCACAGACAACACCGCCTTCACAGTCTGGTTTGCCGATAAAGCTCAGTCAAGCGCTCCGGTAAGATTGGAACTCTGACTTCCAAACATCCGAGGGCGAAGCTGGCTGAGCATTCCTTCCGTCTCCTCTGTGGAGAGCATCGAGTGTATTTCCACTTTTCCTGACCGACTGCCTCTGCCTTCCTCCGCATGTGGCAGATTTCTGACCCGTTCAGACTGCTCATGATACTGAAGCCATTGTCTGGCGTCCATTGGGCTTCGAAACTGCCGTCTGTGATCGTATCCCAGGGAATGCCTGCGAAGTGCTGCATTTCTTCAGTGAGTCCGGAAGCGCTGAGGGAGTGGGTAATCATCTTGGACTCGCTAATATGTATTTCGCTTCGATGGGAAGGAGTGCAGGTGATGAGGTTTGTAAGCTTTTGATCGTAAAAAAATGGATTGCGAACCACTGTTTGACCATTCTTGCCATTTTGCGGTTGAACTCTATATATCTGACAGCTTGCCAGCCATTCCTGCTTTGCGGAAGCCAAATCCTAAAGAACAAAGGTGGTGAGTTTCATCCCTTAGCCAATCATCTGATATGTCGCTATCCGGGCGAAATCGGAAATCGGTTGGCGAGCGAGAAGCACCAGCAGCGACACGTTCGGGCACGCAATCGACACAGCCACTGACGATGAGCACTATGTCGGGACGGAATGACGGAGGTCTCATTGGGGTTGTTGCTCTGGCGCTTCTGCCGGACATTTCCAGTGGTGAAACACAGTTCATTGTATGATCACAAGAGGGAACGGAGAGGTCTTCGCAACAGATCGTCAGGTCGAGATGGTATGTATCGTCTCCCAAGCTCTTATTGGGCGTCAGCTGATCACGCTTGATGGTGGCGACGATAGATGACACCATGCACCGAGAGCCTCAAGTCGGGAGAAACCGCCAGCGGCGAACGTCTTCCTTTGTCAGGCAGGAGTAGCGACATCAACGGCCAAGACATGCCGCTGCTCATCTTCCACTTGACTGTGATGACTTCGGCGATGTACGGCTTAACTAGAAATCGGTCACATCGAGACCAGTCTTACAGTAAACCGTCCGCCGACCAGCAGATATTGGCTCTTCTCTGATAGCATTTTTGTCAGCGATGGCGATTACGTTATTAAGCGCCAGGGCAAGCAGAGGCTCGAGACAAGTCGGATCTGCTATCGCGTCACGGTCTGCGCTTCCCGAAGAGATATCAAGAACAGACTGCGACGTCTCTTGCGAAAGAAGGTAATCTTGGGAGCGCAAGCGGCATGAGGGATTATTTGATACAGTAGAATATGTTCCGGCTTCTCAATCGCTATACAGCCCTTCCAATTGTGTCGCGCCTCTTTCTAAACCTTGTTTTCGTGGAGGTTTCAGGCAGGCGCCATCACTGCTCGGTTTGCTGTTTACGAACCGCTTTGACAACCAGAGGAATGACCTCGGCAGTCTCGAATTTCTTGTGCGGGTGGTCGAGTACGTCCAGCATGGCTCGCAAGGTGGACGAGTGAGACGTGATCGAAATGTCTGAAGGCGCGATATAGTTAAGACAGGGATGTGCCATATGATGTATACGGGAGACAACTACTCACAGGTCTCCTCATGAAGTCGGAAGGCGTAGGAGAAGAAGCCTCGAAGCCTGTCGTGGCTGTGCTCCACTGTCTCTCTCTCGTCTGTGAAAAAAGGCTCGAAGTAAGCTTGTGAAGTGAGAGCAGTGTAGGAAATGTGCTTACCGGGTTTCCACCAGGGATCGGTGTGGGAAAACTCGTCCTCAAAGTCGCATTGATAGAAACGCGACATAAGGTAGTCCTATGCCAAATTACGGGAATTGAGTCAGTGATACTGTGACCAAGATCCGAGCAGGAAACCATCCTACCTTATCCCTCCGTTGATCATTGGTCTGCATTCCGTAGACCTCACGGAGAGCCTATGGGTCCAAACAGGCGATAAGATGGGCGTGAGATCTGTCTCGATCAACTCGATAGCAGTTCGGATCATGGCTCACCTCACAGAAGATGGGAGTCTGGTCTTGCAGATTGGCCCCCCAAGTCAAAGCCATGGTATCCGCCGCTCGGGTCATGGGAGAGAGTAACCATTTCTCAGGAAGGGGCGCGCCAGCATCGAGATTCTTCTTCCAGCCCTTTTGAAGCGTCTATCAGAGTGAATGTACTCGTATACGAAAACCGTCAGGATGGGGTGAAATTATAGGATGCTTGTCTCGACCCGAACTCACGAGCGCCTCCTCTCGTCCCTTGGGAGTGAGCTCGGCATCAGGTCCCCAGGTGATAATCTCGTTGCCTGACTTCTTGGCCCAATTCTCTTCCCAATCGTCGCCGTAGTAATCGGAACCGACGTTATGCCATCCTTGACCGTGACGGCCTGCAAATCCACCGAGCGGGGATGGAATCGGCGGAGATTCAGCTCGAGCTGAACCAGTGCAGGCTGTGGTGTCCTATTGGGCTCACCGCAGAAGAAGACCTTATAGCTGACATCCTCGGGCGCGTTCGCTTGCAGGTCTAACAGTCGCAGATGATCGCACGGATGAGTACCGAGTTTCGCCTTCACCAATTCCAGGGGTGCTGCTCGCGCCACGTACCGGCGATCGACTTTTTGAAGTTCTCCCACCTCTCGGGCGACTTGTCCAACAGCCCAAAGCTCGAATCGGCCAGTTCAGCGGGCGTCTTTTGGACGCCCTCTTCTTCTTGTTGTTCAAAGAAACCTTGGACGACCTGTACGACAGGGAAAATACGAGGGTTGAAGTTGGAAGGGAGAGTGAGAAAACGAATGCGCCTGCCTCGCGCGCGCTTGAACTCTCACCTCAAAGTTGGCAAAGTAAGGCTTGTTGACGCCGATCTCGTGACAGGTAGGTGATTTGGATATGATTCGAGAGGAAATCTGGCGGATGTCGATGTTATGAAATGGGATGATGGGCCGTAAAAGAGAGGGCATCGAGTAGCAACCTGCAAGTCATCTCTCTTCTTTATACGATCCTTGAACAGCGAGAAATCGGGGTTGACCGACGAGTTGAACTTCGTATGCCTAGGCGTTTGGTCTCTAGCCTCTAGTTCGGTATCAAATGTCGTTCAACAATATATGGTCCCGCCGAGTAGTCATACGGTGATTACCCTGGAAATATGGTCCCATCCAGTCGGGACAACTACCGACACCTCTTGGAGCAGGCATCACACTACTACTGTAGGGGCGTCGTAGTTCACGGTGATGCGTGTTACTGTACCGCACAGGCCGATCTGATGTCATGGTGACAGACGCTGGAAAGCGGGACGATATCCTTCGGTAATCCTTACTTACCCCAGACGCCAGACGCCGTTCTCGCGGAGGGAAAGTGCCTCGTGAGTGAACCTTTTTAGATCGACACAGCCCATGCCAAAGCCAAGAACTTCGTCTCGGTTGGCTCAAAATATGCTCATGCGGGTGCATTTCATTTCCGCGTCATCATCGATGACATCGTCCGCGGAACCGGGTCGACGTGACAAGACCATCCTTAGGGGTTAGGGGTAGTACCTGGGATCCGGCTATTATCCTACATGTACATCCTACAATACCCTCGTTCTCGCAGTCGCAGTCGCAGTCGATATCTCACTGTGGCACAGAGACCTCCTGGCTCCTGGATCGTGGTCCCCGCGACCCATATGATCTCTTGAGTGTGTGGAGGTGGAGATGGGACAGTGGGGGGGATCGACGGGAGTTGTCATGGTATTCGTACTCGTACTTGCACCCGTCATGCGTCACATCAAGGTCGAGGTCGAGGTTGTCTATCTCCAGCGTCCGGCCAATTCCTAGATCTCGGCGATTATTTCATTTCGCACGACCTCGACAGCGATCTCGTTGATCTGATCTGGATACATACCATACAGTATCATACATGGCTGTTCTTTCGTCCACATACGGACCATACCATAGCATCGTTCCGTGACGCTGATGAGACAATTTCATTGTTTGCGTTGACGTCGCAGTCGAAACGTATCGTACCAGAGTTCTGGATCCGTGATCTGGGGTACTACACGATATGAGGTGCCCTCAAGTCCCCCATGATTGAAGTCACCGATCACCGATTTGCGAGGTCGCCGAGGGTGGTCTTAAGTTGGGGACTCCGGCTGGGGATAAGTACTGATGATCTTGCGATGGCACGATGACGAGGCTGAGGATGAGGGTTCTATAACTGTTACCGTGATTGGGATGATGTACGAGGCTTGTCTTGTGCTGTGCTCGACCTCGATCAACACGCCTAATCATCGATCTCGCTGGGATCACCGTAGCCGGATGTACCCGAAAAAGGAGGGGTATACTAGTAAGAGCGTCAACGTGCTTTTTGCCCATGGACCTCGTTGTTAGTTCCTCTCAGCTCATGACTTTGAAACGGTTCTGCGACAGCGGTCTGTCACGCACAGTACATAGCCAAAACTTATCGAACTATCGTATGAATTGTTGGTATTCGCGATGATGAGGTTGCACGATGCCAGGGGATGCCGATCAAAGGTCCGAGGGTGAGGTCGGGTTGCGCGCGGTCTCTTGTCTCGCTCACATCATCCTCGACCTTCACTCATCTCGTTGGTACGATGGTATATGGTACTCGCAATCCGATCGCAGCTCGATCGAGACATGCGAGACGATTGGGAACTGATGTGATCAGATCATCACATCATATCATATCGTCAAACAGCAGCAAGCCACCACAACAAGGCGGGGCTGTACAGCCTGATCGATCCGACACGCCCGACGTTATCCCACGTTATCGATCTTTCTTCGATCGAGGACCGAATGGCAAACCCACGACGATGGCCGGTTCCGACGAACATGACAGCAGCTACAGCAGAGGAGGCTTCCGTGCTCGGTCACACCCACCCAGGACTTCTAGTGCAAGCCCTGGCCGATCACCGAGGCCTCGGTCTGAACACGAGATGAAACGATCCTCGACCTGCCTCGGCCGAACCTCAGATCTCTCCCTATCCTTCCTGCCTCGTTCTGAAACGAGCAGGTCGGGGATCGTTACCTCGGTTCTGGATATTTCCCACACACATGTCACACAATCGAGAAGAATTTCCGGCAAGAGATTGAGGGAGACGCTCCAGATGGATTACACGCTACGGGCTACGGGATGGACAGGGACATCGTCTTGATCGTTGCGGGCGAGATACCGACGAGGGATCCGAGGGACGACCCCTTGTGATCTTGATTATCAGATCATCGACGATCGATCGGAATTCCAGGGATCAGATCGGTGGGAAATGGGCGATGGCGATGGTGGTCGCCTCTTCTCATCTCGAGTCTTTTCCTATGCTTCTCAGAGCAGACGAGGAATAGCTATATAGCAATGAGATACTAGGCTCCCCGACACCTCTTCGCCTCTCCCTGCGTTCGATAGCATACGAGATACAAGGCTCCTCTCGGCTCGTTCATAATCGAATCCAAGCCGTACCGGATTCTAGGACCTTATCGCCATGGTCAACCTTGCATCCCTGGTACCCTCGCCCTCGAGCCTGACCACTCTCAACCTCGCACTCGCCGGCATTGTTCCCCGTCAAGCCTTGACCAGCAGCAGCATAACCAACTATGGGTCTTCTTCTTCTGAACGATCGACGTCGGCCACACAGGTCGGCTCGGACGTCAATGCCAACCCTTATCCGACGGGGACTCTAGGGACGGCGTTTGAGACGATCGCTCCGAGTGTCACTTATTCGACCAATTTGACGACGACCGCTACTGCCGATATCGCTACCGCATCTGCTTCGGATGGAGTTGCGGCTTCGACTTCGACTGCGACCTCGACTTCGACCTCGACTGCGACTTCGACTGGGACGTCGACCTTGCACTTGACCCCGGCTTACAACAACACCCCGAGTACTTCGACCGGCAACGACAACCACAACGATACCGATACCAAAGCTGACAACGGCCATGACGGCGATAAAGGCGAGGGGGAATGGCCAGTCAAATACTACGACTTCACCATTACTTGGGGAGACGTCGATGCGAATGGAGAGATCCGACCGGCTATCCTTGTTAATGGGCAGACTCCGGGGCCTTTGATCGAGTTGGAGGAAGGGCAGCGGGTTAGCGTGAGTAGAGTTGTTTGTTGGAGGTTTCGAGGTTTCGATGTTTCGAAGTTGTGGACGAATCGAGGTTGTCAAGTTCACTGTTACTGTTGGCTGACGACCGTCCTTTGCGTTCGGGTGGGTACGGCACGATAGATCAAAGTCAACAACCGGCTCGGACAGCCGACGACCATGCATGCGCATGGGATCGTCCAAGAGGGGACGATCTGGGCGGATGGGGTACCGGGTGTGACGTAAGTTTCGGGTCTATCACGGATCGCTTTCAGGCTGTTTTTGGGCTGGTTAAGGGGGGGAGGGTAGGAACGATGGCTGACGAGACCTTGACGTTGTTGTCCATAGACAATATCCGATCGAGGATGGGGCGAGCTTTACCTACACCTGGACGGCTAGGCAGTATGGACAGTATTGGTGGGTATCTCAGAGGAAACGCATTGCCGAGTACGAGCACGTCTGACGACATTTGACTACGTCGATCGTGGTCTCGTTACTGCAGGTACCACTCGCACTACCACTCGCAACTGTCCGACGGCTTCCGTGGTCCTCTTCTCATCCACCCGACCAAGTCGAGAGCCAAGCCGTTTACGACGATGACCTCGGAGAGTTGGGAGCTCGATCAGTTGGAAAAGGCAGAGAGGGACCCGAGGATCGTGATGCTGGCGGATTGGTCACATTTCACGGCGGATGAGATCAGTGGGATTTATAGGCAGACCGGGATCGATCCTCTGTGAGTCGACAGAAGTTTATGTTAGGTCGTCACGGCCCTTGCGGTGGTACAACTCAGCTGACCAGGGACGATTCGCGAAATCGCAGCTGCCTGGACTCGTTCCTCATCAACGGACGTGGACAGAGAATCTGCCCGGATATTAGTCTCCTCACGCCGTTCGCCAGTCCCGTAGCGGGGCCGTTGACCGACAAGGCTTGTCCTCTGCCCAACAGCACCTTGTCGATGGGTCCGGTCAGGAACTACACGGCGCAATACCCTGACCAGGTCCCGGCGAGGCTGTACCAAGGTTGCAGTAACACCAGTAATGTACGCGGTTGTTTTGGTTTTGCTTGGCAGATCGGATCCGTAGCTGACTAGCTTGGTATTTTGCAGCCGCTCACCGTATTCCAGGTCGACAAAAAGGCAGGATGGACATCGCTCAACTTCATCTCGACCGGGGGGTTAGCGGAGCAGCAGGTGAGATAAGCATACCGGGGACTTTGATGTGCGAACAAGCTGACCGTCTATGCCGCTCGCGATAGGTCTCGATCGATGGCCATTCGATGATCGTCTACGCGGCTGATGGCAATTATATCGAGCCTCAGGAGGTGGACATCCTGCTCATGGGCGTTGGTACCCGATGTAAGCCGGCGCTGGAGTCTGGTGTGCGATATTGACATCTGCTGACGCCGTTCGGACGATGCTCATAGATTCGGTCATGGTTAAGCTCAACAACCCAGGTGATTGGACGATCCGGACCACCAACTCGCAGACCAACCAGTTTATCGGAGGATACGCCGTCCTGTCCTATACTGATTATATGGAGCCTTGCGGACCGGCGAGCGGCGGTCTTCCTGGGCTCTGCGGGAAGACCGTCTTTACTTCGCCACCTTCGGATCAACCCAAGCTTGGCTTCGCTGGCAATGCTTTGAATCAAGCGACGACGCTCGACCCTTTCCGATTGGCGCCCTTTGTTGCCTTGCCACCGCCTACGAACGCCGACCACACGCTCATCTGGGACATGTCCCAGCCCAACGACCGAGTCTGGAAGATGGACGATCAGCCTTTCCTCGCTTGGCGTGACGATCAGAAGCCGGCCATCATTGACGTACAGCCATCGTTGGACGCTGGGGTAGCGCTTTGGATCAACAACGGGACCGTCGTGGATATCATCTTCAACGTCCCGCCCGGCCAGCCGACGCATGTGAGTAGGATCAACTCTGGTGATTGGCGATCTACAATCAGCTGACTGATCTGACCTCCCTCGACCAGCCTTTCCACAAGCACGAGACCAAGTCTTGGGTGTGAGTCGGCGCATTAGCCAGTTTCTCTCTTAACACGGCAAGCTGACTTTCGCATTGGTCCTTTCCAGCATCGGACAAGGACAAGGACCGTTTAGCTGGCCTGACGTAGCTACCGCGCAAAAGGCGGTTCCGGCCAGCTTCAACCTCTACAACCCGTCGTATCGAGGTGAGTCGGCTCTGCTACGAGGTCGGGTATTCACAGGGCTGATCCAGATTTTCATCCTCCGAAGACACGTACCGAAGTCTCCCTTCGTTCACCGGTCCGACTTGGGCAGCGATTCGATACCAGGTCACGTACCCCTCGTTGACGTTCTTCCACTGTCACATCAGGTGAGCCGCAGAGTCTATGATATGGGAAGCTGGAGCTTCAAGCTGAACGACTTGTTTGATCGATCACAGCTACCATTTGCAGTCCGGGATGGCCGTATTGCTCGTTGAAGGGCTCGACGTCGGTCACCCCGAGGTCCCGGATCAAGTGTGAGTGGTCGTTCGTATTGCTCGGACTGTCCTTCATGCTCATGCGCCTCGCTTCGATAGTCTGCGAGGCAACCGCACGGTCCTGACGTCGAATCCGGATCCCGTGTACCCGGACGGCGCTCGAATCGACGTATAAGGGTACAAGGGTAGAGGTTATATAGACCGGCCTTTACGGCTATTATGCGATAATCGTAGTGATTCATAATGTCATCATGTTACAATTAGAAAAAAAAACGAGTTCAAAGCCGTTGCTGTGTATAGACCCCTATCTTATCCGTTTACGAGAGAAAGGAGAGGTGAAAGGGGGAGAAGCTGTTTCAGGTCTACGATCTGCAGCGCAACCAACGCGAAGTATCGATGATCATCTGATGGTTTATCGTCAGCCTCGTGACCGGCGTTAATGACGCAAGGGTATCAATATCAATCAATGATATCGAAAAAGGCCTTTCGTGGCCCTTGGAAGGATCGGAGAACATATAGCGATTATGGCGACGTGTTAATTGCATCGTGTAGGCGCGCCATTATCGGATGTGGCGATGTAGCGTGCGACTTTGCCACTGTAACGCTGGGAACCCTGTCGACAGCTACAGTCACACAGGAACACTAACATGTACAGAGAAGGTGTTCCAGCAGTTACCAGATCTCGTATGAGTATTACGTTTCATCTGCGAGACAGTGAACAAGACTTGCGCGCGTGATCGAAATTCATGGTTCTCGGAATATTCCTTTGATGCAAAAGATCGCCTCTCGCCTGCTTATAGTAGGGATCGTACTGTCCTCGTCGCTACACCTCGTACCGTTCAGAGTGATCATGTGATCGTATCAGCGTTCTCAGTACGCTCCTTTGAGGCGAGAATCGATCGAGAATAGCCTGCCTTGTAGGTCGATGGAAGCTAGTAGTAGACGCGTATATATGAGGATGCATAGACATAGCTCCCTGTTCAGGAAGAAGGACGAACACGTTTCTCGGGCTGTCACCATCATCTTGGAACCACAAGCAAACACTATCCAGATACATGATCTCTACAGCTACACTCTCCGACGATTCTAGATTTGGAGACAACACATTTGGGTCACAACCAAGATATGAAGTCACGAAGACCGAAGGCGGCGAGCGTTGGTCTGACAATGGGCCAGGCGCCGACACGTGGTTTTCTATCGTCACTGACGTCGACAAAGTCACAATTGTTACCAATCTGACAGCCGAAGCCTTGGAATCCATTGCAGTCGCAACCGCCTGGCATTACAAAAGCAAACTTCAGGAGAGAGACAACGCCGAAAAGACCCCGAACGTTCCGCGCATCTGTCTCGCGGCAGACGCTTTAGCAGCAAAACTGGCACAGACGGAAGAGGCTCAGATGATGAAGGATGTTAAACGTTACTACGTTATGCACCCGAAGAGCAGGTGGATATCTGTGGTAGGCTTGCGGGATAGAAACATAGCTAAAGTTCCAGATTGGACGCAATTGATCCAGCCGGAAGGGGAGCGTTTCATCACAGCTCTGATGGGCAGAACACCAAGCATTTCCATTGACGACCCCGGTTATGAGCGCAAGGCAACAGAGACTCGTCCAGGCCATGTACGCAGCTGGTTGGGCCGGGGTCACGAAGAGTACAGAGCAGAGGCTGAAGCTGTACGACGCTATCAAAGATCTGCCTGTCGATTTGTAATCTTGTTCAGATACATGCTGTTCACTTGGCCTTCCCACGAAGCCACCTATGCTTACCAAAACAGAAAGGCCTCGGTCGAATCTCGCAACGAGAGATCTGTGTCGCGCTATTCGCAACGCTTACGTCCTGCAAATGGGCAGACATATCGAAAGACGGGGATCCTGCGTATTGATAAGCAAGAATTGAGGGAAAGTGCGGATCCGTCCCCCACATGCCGCGCTATATTTGAAGTTTTAGGGCCTGATCGTTTGCGCCGTTTGTCAAAATTGTTATTGGTAATGAAATGATATATCACCAGAAACGGGTTTTATCATCACGGCGTGATGATCCCCCTTCTTGATTTTCCAAAAAGGCCTAATCGGTTGGCTGTTGAAATTGGTATTGAAAGATTTCAACACGTCCAATTCGGTATTGATCCCGCCTAGCAATTTTCAGGCACCGTTCAGCACCGATTTTGATGCGGAAACAAGGCTTTGCCGTCATCTTCCGAAATCTTACGAAATCGGAAGACATATTCATGGTCATCGGCCTCGGTGACCATATCATGAAAGGATCAGCGCAATTGCAAACCCGTCGCTGATCGCCTTGTAGTCGTTCGTATACACAGACCTCTCCCCCGCGTAGCATGGATCCCCACCAGTACAATGATACACGCGGCTACAGTAGCCAGCCTGCTATGGGCTTTCCTTCTCCTTCCCGGCCTCAGTCCCGCCATCCTAGCTCCAATCCGATACACAACATACCATCGCAAAACACCGCGGTGGGACATCAATTCGCACCTGTAGAAAACTGGCGGAATGCCTTGTCATCAGCCGGCCCATATCTGCAGAATTCTTCCGAAATCGGATCATATGACCCCGATCCGATTTCGTATCATGAGACTCAGCTAGGCGAGCCACCCAACGGGACTCGTCGATTCTCTCGACAAGCCTCTTCCAATTGGGTGGCAGAGAGCCAATCGAGCCGAAACTCCCAGCCGTTCCCCTCAATTGGAGGGAGGGACGTCGACAATTCACAAGGTTTCTACACCCAACCTCCCACGATTGCAGTTGGTAGTCAACGTTCAAGGATTGGATCCCCGGACGTTTCAGAACCTGCCACCCCCTTGCTGGACAAGACACCCGCCCCACTACCTGCGAGCAACATCCGGTGGAACAATATGCCCTGTGTTATAGCCATCCGCGGTGCGACTATCACGTACATCCGAACGGGTGTTCCGCCAGCAACTCCGGCGGAGCAGGTACTTATATGATACGATAGGTAATGTCTAACTACTACGATCACTATTGTAATATGTAATTCATCTGCTATCACACTCATTTATCTACCTATTACCCTACGCAAGTCCCGGAGAACACACAGGTTGCTGGCAACCTAACAGAATAGCAGATCATCTCCTTTTCCCCGACTTGCAACTATGGAAACCGAAGCCACAGAACGGGCAGAAGTTCCGGACAGGGTAGTGTACGACGTAGCTGGTAACCCTATCACGGTAGCCGGCTACAAGGAACCGGTGCGGAGCACGGGAGGTGCTCAAGATCGAGACAGCGCCGGCGGATTTCTATGGGTCCGTAACACCGGCGAAGGAGACGAGGTGTTCTCCTCCTTCTTGAGTGCCGACCGACCAGCTGTCAGCACCATCTCCCTCTCGAATGACGTCGGGAGGATGAACTCAACCTTGGAAAGGTTGATGGCAAAGGTGGATGGATTGGTTAACGTCAACGCAGTCCCCTCGCCTCCTCCTCCGGCGTTTTCTCGCCCCTCTGTCCCCGTACAGCCTTACACCAAGGCTATCCGGGTGAGCGATCCCGAACCCTTCGATGGGTCGAAGAAGGAAGAGGTACAAGCATTCTTAGATGCTTGTAACCTACGCTTCATGGCGGAACCCCTCGCATACCACGATGACAAGTTGAAGATCGTGTTCGCGGGTAGTTACTTGCGGGACGCCGCGAGGGAATGGGCTCGCCCCTGGCTTTTCGGAACTGCCTGGACCACATGGTCGGAGTTCGAAGCCGGGTTGCTGGCTCGTTTTGGAGTTGCGGTAAGGAGAGCCGCAACTGAGAGGGAGATCGCCGATTTCCGACAGGGGAATCTGTCGATCTCCGAGTACATTACCAAGTTCAACGCTATGGCCAACCTCATTCCGGAGTTGAACGACTTCTGCAGGAAACTCCTTTTCCGAGCACACTTGAATCAGGCGTGGAGGGATGCCATCGTCCCTATCCCCAACCAGGAGAAGTGCACCCTCTACGAGTTCCAGACGGAGTGCGCGAAGTACGAGGAGAAGGTTGGACATACTCAAACACAACATCGTAACACCACATCGCGAAACAACACTTACACCCCTCGATACACCGCTCCTGCGGTAGTGCCAGTCGCCGCTCCCGTACAAGCCCCTGTGGCATCCGCTTCGGGAGCTGTCCCCATGGAGGTAGATGCGGCCAAGTACAGGGATGTCACCTGTTATAACTGTTTCCAGAAGGGACACGTTATTCGGGAGTGTACAAACCCTGCGTTGGTGCCCAAGCCGCAGTGGTACGTGGACCGGATGAAGAAGCAACGAGACCTTCGCGTTGCAGCTACCTACTCTCCCAGCACTGCTCCGACGGATGAGCAGTTCGACAGGGACCACGCCGCCAACGAGGGAACAGGTTATCGAGTTTGGTCTACGTAAGGGTTCTTGTGCGCGACGATCATGTATTTACCAAGGGCAGGTCCCTTGATGTTTTTATTTTTATTCACCATTCACTGCTACTACCGAGCAAAACCTTTGCACCCACACGTACAACACGACTACAAGCAATAACGTTTTGCAATTACCTCAAACTATTGTCAGCGAAAGAGAGAACGACAATATCCAAAAACAACTCCGGCGGAGAACGATTCGAGAACTTCCGAGCGGCATAAAAATTTATTATCCCGAGTACAAATGTACTCGGCTACAAGAGACGACCGTACAAAAAGAAAATCACCCAGCCAATTACTCCCCGCCCGAACCCGAACCAGACCCCGACCCAGATCCCGAACCAGATTCCGAAGAAGAAGACCCCGAAGTCGAGGATCCGGACGAGCTCGACGACTCGCTGTCGCTCCCGTCCCCCATGCTGGTATCCTCGTCGTCCGAACGGTCGTCCTCGAGATCGAGGTCCTCCACGTCCTCTCCCTCGACGATGGTAGGCGCAGGCGAACCGGGAGTAACGACATCGGAACCGGCGATGTCGAGGTCGACGTTGACGTCGGTGGCGACCAAGCCGGCGGGGACGGCGTTCGGAGCGTGTTGGGCGGCCAACCGAGCGGTGAGTTCGTGCTCCACGTGGAAGACGGAAGGAGCGGGGATATGAGGGAAGAGCTACGATATGAAGAAGACAAGAACACAAGCAGGATATTAGCTCCCTCGGAGAAGAATATGGAGAAGGTTATCGGAGAAGAGAATAGAAAAGAGATAAGGGGGGTACTCGCCATCCTCTCTTGCAAACGGGCCACCTCGCGGGCAACCATACCGACACTCCTTTGCGACACCGCAGGATCCTGGATGTACAGCAACCCGGCGCGAACCCTGTGTCGAACTCCGATATCGTGTCGGAAAGCCGTGACGACGCCGGGGTTCATGGGGGTGCAGGGACGGCCTGCATTGACCCTGCACAAGTAGCAGGAGGAAGCGCGGGAGGTCTCTCCCGGAGTAGCGAGGACGTGCCTGCACAACCACGTTTGGCTGACACGAATGCAGTCGACCCATTCGCCGTCGACTCGGGCGCGGTGGTTCCCGGTAGTCGCCAATTCGAAGCAGGGTTGGCAGGCGAACTTCCAACCCCCCTGGCATTGGGCCTAGAGAAGAAGGATATGGACGTGTCAAAGGAGAACTCCGGCGGAACTGCAAATCGGAATAACTCACGACCAACGCGTTGACCGTAGTCACTTGGTTTCGCCTAAAGGCGAGGTCCAACTCCTCCGGATCGACGTCGACGACCTTGGGCTTGACCTTCTCGGCCTGAATGAGAGTCGACTCTACCGCAGTCCGTACGGACATATCAATACGCCGTTCCAACTTCAAGACCGCAACGGAAGCCCCACTCACTAGTCGCGGCGGACATCTTCTTGAGGTACCGCCACCCCTTCGGCTGAAGTTGCTCGAAGGGCTCGGCCTTCTTGGAGGGAGTACCTTGAGCGGACATGTTGAGCGATAGAGAGAGAGTAGAAGTGTACGGAGAAGGTAAAAGTTACGGACGAGTGAAGAAACGAGTTCGAATTAGAGTTAGCAAACACGCAAGGGGGAGTCGAAGCACCACTCCCTACTCAGCTGCTATATACCCCTCATTCGAGTAGCCATCACGAACAGGAAGACAATAGAGAACATGGTCGACAGGCCTCCCGACAATAGGAGGTTGGGCGTTACTTAGTAACGTCGACAAACTTGGTTATCGACAAATAAGGTATTCAAAGGACCCTTTGATGACGTCTTTGTTTACTCTTTCGGAACAAAAGAATACGCGTCGCCCCGGAGACTCTCGACGCGTGAGAAACATACACTCGGTTAGAGAACAATCGCAACAATACTTGAAACAACGCTACGTCATGAAGAGTTACCTCAAAGTGGTACACAATGGCGAGCTAGGAAACACGAACAAAGGCTAGCCAGGCGATTACTCGAAGGAACAGGGCGGATCGACCGTACGGAAGCATTAGGGCTGACGAGCTACGCTGAAACACTACTCGGAACAAACGAAAGAAGGATGCCCACGCAATCGTTTTAAGATGAAACGGATTGACGGTACGGGTACACAAAGGTGCTGGCGAGCGACGCTCGAAACGTAGCGAACAAAAGAACACTAGTTGACGCCAGGTGGTTACCTATCGGACGAGGTGAACCATACGTACGGTGAAACACGACACGAGACGATCTGGAATCTCGTCCTAACGGGGGGATCCTGTTATAGCCATCCGCGGTGCGACTATCACGTACATCCGAACGGGTGTTCCGCCAGCAACTCCGGCGGAGCAGGTACTTATATGATACGATAGGTAATGTCTAACTACTACGATCACTATTGTAATATGTAATTCATCTGCTATCACACTCATTTATCTACCTATTACCCTACGCAAGTCCCGGAGAACACACAGGTTGCTGGCAACCTAACACCCTGGCTGATGGAACGCCTAGCGGCAGAGCTAGCGGGTCAGCGAGTGGCCACGAATGCTAAGAACAACGACGGCAACCTCGCTCGAGCGCAGTGGGAAGAGATTGTGTCCGCTCTCAACGACCTGGCTATTTCGAAGGGGGTTCACAACCTCGGTTTGACTGTCAGTAAAGTGCGGAACAAAGTTGCGGAAGTCAATAAGGAGCAGTATATACCTCGCCGAGTCATTGCTGGCAAGAGTGGGAAGAGTGGTTGGCACTTCGATCGGAAGACGGGCCAGGCGCATGCAGAGCCTCCAATTTGGGAAGCATGGTTGGCTACGCTAGTGAGTCAACGCCTCCTTCCGATTTCGTCCGATTTCGGAATATTGATCCGATGTTCTTGGTTTCAGGGCGATGACCGACCACTTTATGAGAAGTGTAAAGAACCTTGGCCCATTTACGAGCTATGGGACAAGTATCGAGGAGGGAGAGGTGCAACTCGCGAGACTGTCAAGAAGCCAGGTAGCCGCCCTTCAGCGGTAGCTCGGAACGCACAGCAAAGCGACGAGGGGGAGAGTTCAGGCGGGGAGAATGAGAATCCGTCTCAAACGCCGGAAAGATCCACTGGTAGTCGCAAGAGATCCCTAGCCTCTAGTACCCCGCAGAGCCAAGCTAGCCGAAGAAAACGCAGGCGCCAAGAATCCTTGCGTGAACAACAATCTCAAGAACAGAAGTCCTCGCTTGAAGCGATGGTACAACTGTTTCAAAACAGTCGTCCCCCCTCTGTTGGTGAGAAGGCGGCCAAACTTCTGTCCATGGACAAAGTTCGATGGGGGCTGACCGCCAGGGAAGACTTCGAAATCACCAATGCCATGATGGAGAGTCCATCGAAATGCGAGTTCTACCTTGGCATGTCGCCAGCCGAACGACAGCGGTGGGCGTTTGGGTACCTTAAAATTGACAGGGTACCTCCACCCGTCGATGAGCCGTCCAATCGGCATGATGATGACGATGACGCCGCCGGTTCGATAGAGGATGAAGATGATGAGCGGGAGGACTTGGACGGCTTGGGTCAATATGGAAACTGGTAAAACTGGTAGTTGTACAAGCAGATGGCTTCCGGTCTCTTTTTCTGTACGAAATCGGAAGAATTCGGTTGACAACATGGTTCTTCCGAAATCGGAAGAAATCGGCTGGCGTACCTGTCCTCCTTTTTCAATCATCGTCCCTGTTTGCAAACAATTCCGCTGTGATTTTCTCTCGTAGGTTGACCATGTGCTGATCGACTCTCCCACGAACGGTACTAGGTGCAACTACGGATTGGGGTTAGGGGTTAGGGGTTAGGGGTTAGGGGTTAGGGGTTAGGGGTTAGGGGTTAGGGGTTAGGGGTAGGGGTTAGGGGTTAGGGT